GGGGCTGGACACGGGCGGGACGCGGTGCTCACCAGAGCCGATCTTGGAGCGCAGCCACCTCTTGATGCAGTCCTGGTGCACGTACTGCAGGCTGCCGGCGCAGCGGCAGGGCTGGATCAGCGGGTTGGCCGGGGAGTCCTCGCCCATTTGGCAGATTCGGCAGAGGTCCCCCTCTTCCTCGTCGGATTCCTCCAGCAGGAGTCTGTGGCGGGAAAGGACGGGATGCATTTATTCTGTCACTTTTTACCTCCTCTGCTTTAGCTGAAGAACGGAGCAGAGACAGCCAATACACGCAGCAGCGGAGGATGAACTAAACCAAAACTGTGCGGGAGACCGGAGCTCATTACTTCTCTTTGATCTTGCGCAGCTTCTCTTGATCTCTGCTGGAAATGATCTTCTCCTTCTGGCTCTCCGGCTGGCTCTCCGCGCTGCCCAGGCTGCCCACGGAGACCGTGATGTTTTCAAACACTCCAACTCTGCGACGCGGGGAAAACCTAATGGAGGCGTCTTCCAGTTCGGGTAACGTTTCCTCCTCTGGTCTGCAAGCACGACTGGCGACAGCTCCTAACCCGACTGCTCCTTCCTCCTCTTCCTCCTCCTCTTCTTCTTCTTCCTCCTCCTCCTCTTCATCATCATCCTGTGAAGCCTTGTGATCGAGGTCATCCCACCTTCTCAGCAGATGCTGCGGATTGCTGTAGGCTTCTTGTGAACCTGAGGCCGGGTGCGTACCATCTTCCCTCGTGTGTCTTCTGAGGCGGGAGAGGAGGGGGGGGCAGCGGCCTCGGAGTGAGGAAGACAGCCAGGACGATCTTCTTCCTCCGCTGCTGCTGTTGCTATCGTTACCGTCGGGCTCCCTCCAGGACGCCGTTCGGGGCTGAGCCGAGCCGCCGCGGCCCTCCTGGATGGGGGCGAGGTCTGCCCTGAGGCTCCTGAGGCCGCCCGGGGCCGGCTCCGCCCTCCCGCTGTCCGCGCCCACCCCGGGCGTCCGGGCGCCGTCGTCGCTGTCCACGGACTCCCCGCCGGTGGAGGGGCTGTCGTCGTCCAGCGAGCGGGCGCTGGAGGAGCCGCTGGAGGAGTCCTGGCTGGAGCGCCGCGAGAAGAGGCGGGACAGCAGGCGGCGGGTGGAGCTGCGGCCCTCCGGCTCGCCGCCTTCGGGGGCCGGCCGCGGCTGGAGCGGCTCGGGCCTGGACAGGGGGGAGGCGTACCGGTGGCTGTGGGAGGAGTAAGAAGAAGAGGAGGAGGAGGAGGCGTCCAGCGGCCCTCGGCTCCCCGCTGGTTCCTGAGACGAGTGGAGGGTGGAGGCCCCGGCGGAGAACCGGCTCGGAGCTCGGCTGCTGAAGTCGCGCGTCAAAGGGAAGCTCCGCTGAGAAGTGGAGGAGGAGGAGGAGAGGTGGCGGCTCAGAGAGCTCTCCCTGGCAGTGGAGGTGGAGGAGAAAGAGGAGGCAGAGTAGGCAGTTTCTTTGGGACGAGCTCCTTGTGCATATGTGGACATGACCCTGTCTGGTTGATCTGAAACGAGGGAGGGACAAGTTATTCGCAGCCCGTTTACAAACAGTGTGCGGCACATGTACGGGTCTTACATAATGAGGAAACTAGTCCAGAGTTCCTGGCTTGTCTTTCTCCCAAGCTTGAGAGGCTGGACTCGATCTTTGCCTCTTGCTCTCGCCTGGACAGAAGCGGCTTTGAGCTGGAGGATGACGGCCGCTGGCGCAAGTGACTGGAGCTCCATGTTGAATCATAGGTGTCACTTTGTTTTTCACCTGTTCAGGAGAGACAGCACCAAACCGAATGTAGTATTTGTTCCAAAAACATGTTTAAGATTCATTCTATTTAAAAGAGTTTGAGACAACAGCCTAATGGCATATCATTTCGAGAGAAGACGCCAAAAAGGGCATTTCTTTAGGATACCTCCAAGTATCTGCTATGTGTCATTATGGTTGATAAGAACACAATCCATGCTGTGTGAATCTACAGAAGACCTGACTCCCATCGCCGTCTGTAACGGTTTACGGTGGAGCTCTAAGTCACACACGATGAATGACTCCCACAAACACAAAGTTTTTTTCTCATTTTTGCACCGTATAACTGTCATAACTTAAGCTTAAAAAGGAAATCGTTTTTAAGAATGTTATCCTGGTATTACTCTGTATTATCTTTTGTGATCGTATTACAATGAATCGTGATACGACTGGCTTGAACTGGACTTTATCTACTGGACTTTGCCTAGAGATGACGCTTGTTTTGACTTGGCACTACATAAATAAAATGTATCTTAACTGCTTATCTGTATCCATTTTCCCCAAAAAAGCAATAGTGCTACTCAAAATGGAAACGCCGTGTCTTTTGGGCAGACTTTTCTTGGCAGGCAGATATTTCGTACCTCTACCACTGCTGAGCCCAGAACTGGAGTAAGTGGATCCTGTAAGCGAGGTGCTGGGCGTTCGTGAGTAGAGTCCTCTGTTGCCGTATGAGAGTTTGGCCCTTTTGGAATCAGCATCTTCGCTGGCACTCAGCAAACTCGAACTGATCCCCGACCTCACGTCAAAATCCGTCTGTAAAATAGATGGAGGCAAGCAAAAAAAAAAAAACATAATTAACAAAAAACGCCATTATCATTCCTTTAAACTCTAAAAGGTCACACGAGGAGGCTTCAGTACCAGCTTGCTCCTACTGCTGAAGGACGACTCGGCCCGGGGGCGGTCGTAAGATCTGCTGGTGGACATCAAAGCCGGCAGCTTCCAGCTGGTGGAGCGGCTATCAGAGCTGCTGTAGTCTCTCGATGAGCCAAGGAAACGAGAACTCTTCAAAAAGGAGGCAAGATTGGAAGATATGGCAGTGGTTAATGCTCATCTTTGGGCGTGGAAGGCCATGTCCTCAGTGCACATTTTAACTGAAAGATTCCTGCTTAGGTAACTGGAAAGTGTCAATATTTCGAGTTTGAATAGTAAAACATTAATTTGTTATATGCATTTTGACACTTCTGGAAAATGAAAGATGAAATAAATTAAAAATGAGACAGGGCCCTGATAAATAGTTAACATTATCTTCTGAAATGGACCTCGATGAGAGGCAGGACTGAAATACACTCAAGGAATCTAGGCTGTCCTATAAAAAGATCTCCAAACGAAGTGTCGGCTGTTGCACCACTGATATACATAGTCAGCTACTGTATCACGCTCCGGGGGAACCTGTGGGAAAAGAGCTCATTTGAATGCCGACACGGAGGAACACGAGTGGATGTTTTTTTCATTCCTTTTTTTTTTTTTACTCCAACCAGTACTGTGACAAATGAACTGTAACAGCACATGGACAAGAACCACAAAAGATTAAATAAAGAGTTTTTGGTCTAACTGGATCATATATTTTGTGTGCAAACCCTCCGAGGGCAACTTATACTGAATTTAAATGAGCTATGACATATCACATTTCTTCTAAACTATGGGCAGATGAAGGTAATAGAGCTGTGTGCTGCACCATCAGTTTACCTGTTTATCCATGTCTGCTTTGTAAGGCGAGGATGCCCTTGGAAAGCGGTCATTATTCAGCACCGTGTCCCTACTGTACAACCTGCTGGAGCCCAGAGATGAGGAGGTAGAGGAGACTGTTGGACTGAATGTGTAGGAGGTCCTTGAGCTGGACAGACTGAACGGAAGTCTGCGAGACCTGGAGTCCATCGCGGATAGCCTTGAACCTTTTAAAGTCAGGGCAGAAAATCAAAAGAAGCTCCTGTGAAAAGCTGACACTAAAGACAACACATGAATCTTAAATTCCGGTGCGCAACCACGTAATAATCTTCCTTCTGAAAGCGGCCATTATGCCAAATACAACAACCGGAGCTGTAGTCTACACCTCATTGTGAAGACTGTCAACAGTCTGTGACTTCACAGCCTGCTCAGAAACGAGGCTTGATGGGGTGGCGCGTTCACATGTCTGATTTGTTGACGGAGCACACGTGACGGTGAGTCTGTAAACATAATGCTCCTTCCAGGACTCGGTATCAGAGTCACTGTGCCTATCTTTGGGACTATGAACTCTGTCACATGAATATGACACGACCGGCCGGCACTGTTAGATAAAGATCTACGCAGGAAAGATTCCATTCAACATCCACAGGACACTCACTCATAAAATGCATTATCTAGAAGCACCTATATGGAAGAATCCCTTAAATGTTACCGTTCTCAGATTCTTGCAGGCAACAGTAAAAGCTAGTGAATCAGCGAGAGCACGACCGGACCTAAAAGAGGGTTCTTACAGCTCCTGACATGAGCTGGCTCCGTGCGTGTGCTTGTCCCGGGTACTGATACTGATACACAGACTTCTGCTGCAGCATCTGTGGTCAAAGATAGCTCAGCTGGGCAGCAGCTTGTCATTTCAGGGTGAAATGACGTGCTGTAAATAATGCCAGGTGACAAAAATATTTTTCTCGAACCGAGCACTGACAACTTTGACCCACAGGCAACAAAATGTGAACCAAAATGTAAATAATTTGACATTGACAACCTCTGAGAGCAACCGAATATAACAACTACAGTAAATATCTGTGATGTGGATCATATCTTACATAGGTAGCCTCAGTTGCCACAGTTAACTTCACAGATGCCTTTAAAAAAAATTCTATCTAATCTTTTTTTTAATTTTATTTAAACATGTTTCTTACTTTTGCCTAAAGCTGTTCAACTCGGCCTATTTAAAAGCAATAGGAACTGTAATAAAATAATCAAAACACAGACCCCAAGCTGCACAATGAAAATAAAAATTAATCCAATACTTCTTTAGGACAGCATAGATATGTCGCACCTCTTTGTTTATTACACAGCATTAGCTTAAGCTTGCTGACCACAACATTGTGCAACAAAAAGGAACCAGAGTAAACAGTACATCGTAGTTTTACAAACGCACCGCATTTACTTGCTCCATGTAAAAATGAATGCCGGAAGGTGCCACGTTAATTGTCATTAACAAAACTTTATCCTTGAAAGGAAAATAACATTTCGAGCAGACCTTTTGACCACCTACTTCTTGACTTAGTTAGCTATGCGGCGTTTGGACGTCTGACTCCGGCACTTAGCGCTGACGTTAGCCTAGCATTGTCTCAGTTAGAGAATCATGCTGGCGTCACTGTTGTTTCTTAGCAGTTGTCAAACAAATTAAATTCCATCGCACGCGACAGGACAACGTGGGCTAGCTACCTCACCGCAGTGTGCAAATGCAGCTGTAGGGATTCACATTTTTTTTAAAAGGCGTGTCGATACCACAATTGTAAGGCCCGTGGTGCATGCCAGTGGTAGTTCTTATATGGTAACATGATAGTTAAGCTGCTGTTTTCCGACCAATCGACTATGCAAAGGCTGGGGCTGAGGGCACGGTTAGCCTCAGCCTAGCTGCTTATCTCTTAAGCTGGCTCGTTCTAACACCCAACATTTCACCCTGACGCTAAGCTAAACCTTCGCTTGAAAGATTGAGGGGAAGAAAGCTACCCAATTAGAGTAGGGTAAAGCACGAAACATTGTGTTTTACGAGCATGCGACCTCACCTCTCGTCTCTGTCTTCCTCGATTTTGCACAACAGAAACGATGGCGTCGGTACTGCCGTTGACGCAGGAGGTTAAGTGGTTTGCATTGACCCGGTGGGAGTGGTTTAAAAGGTTCAGGTAAGTGTCGGGGCTCACGGTTCATGCTCGGCAAAAAGTAAGCCAGAGCAGCCCGCCGCGGAAGCAGCAGGTAGACATTTAACTACCAAAATGTGTGCTTTTCATGGACTTCCCCGGTATGAAGTTAACGTTCCGTGAACGTTCATTTGACGTTATGTCGAAATGTGTCTCTGAGATCCGCGTGCACCTCGCGGGAGCGCGCCCCAAAGTCATCAGAGCCAATAAGGATGCTGCGCCAGATCCAATTTTCAAATGTATTCATAATATAAATATATTTTTTTTAACCCCGGACATTTTCTACCGTTATACTTATGACAAATTATGACTGTGACTATACACTGCATCTGTATTTGTATGTACAAAAATGCCCAGAAAACCTAATCACTTAGGCTTTGTACAACATCCGATTATATTAAGCGATTTTGATCATCCAGATGTTTAGTAAAGAAAAACATGTAAGTGCAGAAATCCTTTTTCTCTGCATGTATAAGTGATGAGCATGACACAGCATAATAAATTATTCATTACAGCAAACCTTGAAGTCAGATGATGCCAGTCACTGCAAAATGCTTCACTAAAGAGATACCTTTAAATGGGAATTATAATGGCATTCATATAGGAAATCAATAAAACGTGTAAAAAAAAAAAAACATTTCCACAGAGGAAATTATTGTACTACTGTCAGTGACAGGGCATTACATGACTTTTTATACACTAGTTAAAACATTTTTTTTAATTTTATTTCAGTTCTGAAAATGATATCAAGTCCAACTGTGGTCTTGTTTGTGGCTGCTCAACACTTCATTGTTGCTTTATATGTCTTCTTCAAAAGACGGTTAAAATCCTGCGTTGGTAGCATTGCTGGACTGCAAAATCCCTCTTAAGTAACTTGAATAAAACCAGCCGAGTTTGAGATGGTACACAGTCCGATTGCTTATGAAAAGTAAACAACCAATAGCGTAGTGGTTCAGAAAGCAAAAAGCAAATTATATTTTCTGAGACAAAATATTCAGTGTTTTAGGCACACACGAAGAACAGAATGTTCTGAACCTTCTACAATATCTGCACTTATCAGTATAATTCCTTTCGCCATCAAAACAAAAGTGTATCGAGTCTCAGACTGCATGATTATACGGGCGCCCCGGCCTGCTTGTCCTTTGCCTCCTCTCAAAATCAAAGATGAGAGTTTAATTTAGTGAAAACTAAGAGCAACTCTTGTAACTCATTCATATGTCCACATTTTATACACAAGAAATACAAATGTCCCACAGCTGTGTGCAGGGAAGACTTGTGCTCACAGCCCCACTAAAAGGAATGCGATTTAGCCATAATCCGTACCAATTTTCAATTAAAAGATACAATTTTGTACATAAAGACTTATTGGAAACATCTGCCATCACTGGAATAATACTTTGATAGTTTTGAAGCTACCTAAAAGTGTCCTGTAAACATTTGGTGTCTTTTAGGGAATGAAGAAGAAATATTGTTCACATTGCTTTTATCCTCTTATTTTACAGAAAGTTGGTGCTACAAATTAAAACTAAAAACTGTGCAAAATGCATTCTTTAATTGGCGTCATCAGAAATAACAGAAAATAATCCAGTCATGACTCGTGCCAAACACATTTTCAGTTAGTTTTGAATGTACAAAATCTTTGTTTTCAATATACAGCATGTATACATGAGAAAACAAAACCTAAACATAAATGTAATACTGTAAAACATTTTTCAACCACGTGTGCTGATCCCAAATTCTGGATTCATTTTACAAAAGTACACAAAAAAATGCCACCATTTTCATTATTTTATCATGCATCCATTTCCTGTCGATGGAAACAAGTTTTTACTTTCCACCCTGAAAAGTAAACCAAGAATCTCCTTCATCTGCTCTGTTTAACGAGACCTATACTGTCCAAATTATTCTGTAGAGTTTAAACAAATATTAGGTGTTGAGTATTTCTTTCAAATGGGTTAACAGCTCTCTAGTGTCCCTTATCATTGTTTTAATAACTTGAACTTTATTAACTCAAGCATGAATTTAAATGTGGGCTCTTCAGTGTCTACAGAGAGAACAGGGCTCTCGCTTTGTCTCATTTAAATGTTTTGAATTAGATCAAAACAACAACTGGGATCCTTCAGAGACGTCATCTGTCCAGAGGAGTCAGCATCACAGCTTCACAGCATCACGGGGCTGTCTGTCCTACCTGCTGGTGAAATGGCGAGACGCGGAGGTGAGCATTAACTGTTAATGCTATTCTCCCGAGTGAGCCTCCAAGTCTGTGATCAACACGTTCCCATCCGACTCTGTAGCTTGAGAGCCAGTTTGTCTGTAATAGGCGCTGCCCAGCGTGGGGAGCCTCCGAAAACGAGCAGAGTTCCTCTTGTACAGAAACCACACTGTCCCTGCCAGCAGGGCAAAGATCAGTACGGCCACCAGCACCGCAGCCGGGACGACGCCGTGGTGTAAACCTGAAAGACACAGCAGCATGAGAAAGCTTCCTTTCTGAGGGGTATGTCAAATCCAGTGTTCCTAAAGTTTAGATCACAGCCACCGAGAAGCATGCAGTCCCACAGAATGGGGTTAAAGGCATCCATACTTCTAATCTGCACATTAGAGCAAAACCTTTTAAGCTTTTTACCGTTTAGTGGTTCCACTTCCACCTCAGCAGCTACATCTGCAACAGAGAGGGTACAAAGAAGCTCAGTACGCCCCAGAAGCTTTGACCAAAGCGAGTCCAAGTGAAAACATTGGTGTCTGAGTGAAGGGAGACACCCTGGTTCACACAGCGAGTTTCTAACTCATCACCAGTAGAAGTAAAACAAGCGGAGGCATGCCAGGAGGTGTCGGTTTGGTGTGAAGGGTTACCGAGGTTTGGAGGAGCCCCCGCCCCGTTAGCACGTGCTAGCTCATTCGTACACTGTGGAACCACAGATGACACCAGTGTGGATGTGTGCAGGGATAGGATGCCACGCAGTGTCTGGCAGAGGGGAGGGGTGCTCCAGAATAAGCAGAATTCTGTTTGATAGACTTTATACTGCTGGCTATCGCTCGCTGAGTGAGGGAGCATTACTGAGCTGAGTTTGATTCAGGCAGCCATGAGTTTTCAGTGGAGTTCAGCGAGTAGTGGAGGGCCTTAAGTCCCTTTTGGTGGATAACCGGCGTGCTGCTGAGCTCTGGACTGTGTAGGAGTGTTGCTGTGCAGTCTGGGAGACTCTAAAAGAGCATTGCAGTTACATTTCATCTTGGGCATTTGCACCATCTGCTCCAAGAAAAGAAGAAAATCTAAACTGGAATGACTTCTCAGTGAAATATGATGGTAGCTTTTACAGCACGTCAAAAATTTCCAGTCAATTAGAGTTTACAATAAATTTGTATTTTCTCATATGTGGAACGTCCTCAGTGATTGACTAAATCCTTCAGCATTTGGGAAAAAACTGATGAAGTATTATTGCAGCATCTGCCTGGTCTGTTTGTATCAGCTGTAAACACAGAATCCTTATTATTCATCAGTTTTGGCAGCTGAAAGTCCAGTTTTCCATTTTAGCTTTGCGTTCGGTCAACATCAAATCATGAGAGCAAGACTTTGAATTTAGCTGCAAAATGCAAAAGTACAGCAAGCTAAGAGAAGCTTTCAGAACCCAAAAAAATTCAAGCAGAAAAAGAGATCTACATCCAGACCTCCAGAGCTTCGACCATTTAATCATCAAACCGAAGTTCTTTCAGTCCAAAGTCTCTTCAGCCACCACTGCGAGGCCGGTGAAGACGCAGAGGGGCGTCAATTCCCTTTATGATGGGAGTAGTCATGTGACCAGTTGTGAGCATAAAAACATTGTTTACAGCAGCTTCAGACACTAAAACCTGTCCTTAATTTACTCAAAGCTTCATGTAATCGTATTGGACTTTTAAAAGTAAAATAATGACACAGACTTGATCCCTTTTTACAGCAGTTACAGATTATTTATCTTTTTACGATGAGCCCTGTGACTCTGGGCCAGTAGCTAAAGAGAACCCAACAGGAGTCCAATTTTTTCTACCAGTCAAATCACAGCTGCTTCAGAAGCTCGTCTATAGGGTACAGCCTTCTTTTCCACTCACCTGAGATGGTTTTGCAGACGAAGCCGAGCCGCTCTGTGCATTTTGACAGGTGCCAAACACCATCAGCCACCCTGGTGGTAACACAAGCGTCTGCCGTCAGCAGTCTGGTGTCTGGGCCTTTGTAGGCCCAGTTGGTGTAGTCTATTGGGGAGCCGTCCACCCAGGCCAGAGAGTCAGCTGGAACAAGGTTTCACACTTAGCTGGTGTGGGTTTATGAAGTCTCATCCGCACACACGAGAGATTCTTACTGTCAATGTTGAAGTGCAGCCCCAACCAAACAGTCTGGTGAACGAACCCCAACGACCACAGCTGCTCCAGAACAAAGCGGTTCTCCGTCTCACTCTCAATGGTCAGGACGTCTGAGGTGTTGACTGAAGGGGGCCAGAAGTACAACACAACTCAAAAATGTTTCCTTCCAGGTTAAAACAAGCTCTCACAGTGTTCTTCTAGAAACTTCTGTTTCTACTCAGAGCAGCAGAAAAACCTTTTTGATTTAAATGCTACATTTGAGATCTAAATGTGAAATGACAACCAGGCCATTCGGATGTCAAACTGTGGGGGGTTGGGAATTACCAGGTCAGAATTTGCAAGTACATTTAAAGTTAAAAATTGTTCTGTTCCTAAATTTGTGTCAAAGTTAGGCCACGTTTAAAATAAGCCCTTTTTATTATTATTATTGCTCCAATTGTATATTAAAATTAAAAAAACATCCCTATAAAAAAATTAACTCCTGAATTGATTCAGTTTTTTTTATAAATCATGGCAGAAATTAAAACACACACCACAAAAAAAACAAAAAAACCTTTATGTCTGCAGTGTTCTCTTGATTCCTCAAAAGTCAGTTTTTCCACCACTGGCTCAAAGTTATAACAGCCATGTCCAAACTTCACCCAGGTGGAAGGACAGGGTGTCTCATAAGAAACGAATGGTTTACTGCCTGTCGGGACAGTGGGAGGACGCAGAGAGTTCAGATTATTCCCATGCATTAAATACAAATAGAAGACAATCAACTGAAAATAGGAGGGATCAGGTTTTTCATGCTCCATTGGGGTGGCACTGACTTGGCGGGAGAACGTGGCACAGCGCTCCTGGTAGCACCGTTTCACACTCCGCTCTCCGCCAGCCTCCGTTCACGTCCATGTAAACACACTCTCCAGTCACATAGTCGTCATCGTCGTCAGCCCAGTGCGTGTACACTGTGTCACTGCCATCTGACCAGAGATAGTTGATGCCGCTCTGAAATGATTCACAGCCACCAATTCATCTGTCAAAAAGCTATGCTTGTTGGGTGGCAATCATTCCCTTAATGCTTTTAAATTGAGTCATAGTTAACAGATAAAAAAAACAATTATTAAATATTACAATACAGTATATTTATCAACTATGAAAGTAGCGATTAAACCAAATGAAAAGGATAGATGGTGAATTAAAAAAGAAAAAAAACTGTAGCTTATTCGTGGGAACATCCTCTGTCTCACTTCCTGTGTTCATTTCTTGCTGTAGCTGACTATTTGCTGGGAAAGCACATGTCTGTAAATAGAACACCTCAACTGGGTCAAAAGGCCTGGACCAAATCCCCTTAAGATCCAAAAAGAAAGAAAATACACTCCAAACATTTTCTGCTGTTTGAAGTCCACTAAAATAGTCTTTTGGGATTTGTTTGACTTTTCTTTGTAATTCTTCAGTAATTACTGCTGGCAATATAATTTCTTACCTAATTAAACGCCTTTTAAAAAAAATCTCTTTAAAGGTGCACATTACAAAATCCTTAAATGTTCCTGTTTTAGAGCAGATCAGTAATAAATCAAGTGACCTAATGTTGCATATTAAAAGAAAAATAAACTACTACAGGACAAATGCGGGCGCACACACCCACAATGCTGCACGGTAAAGATACACAGAATTAACTTTTATAGAAGAATAATACATACGTCTTGACTATACAGTCCGATCCAGTATGGCGCTGCCAATCTATTGACAAGGACAGTAAGGAAAGCCTGGTGGTAGGCATCTGTAACACTCACTAGGTCAGCATCATTCTCTATGCACATAAGCATCGCATCGTACCAGCTCATGTTGCCAGATACAACCTTATAGCTGCGGCTCCTGTATTCAATATTGTCAGGAAGTGGGTGGTGATATGAGTGGGTGGGGGGTATGGAAATGTCTGCAAAATAAGAAGAGAGGAGTATTTGAGAAGATAGTACACAGATACACAACATCAGAATTACTATTTCAATATGTTTGAAACAGAGGAAATGGCACGGACGACTGATGAGAAGTTTGGAACTTTTTGGTCTAAGATTTGGAAATGTGGCCTCAATACCAGTTAGTCTGAGACATAAGTGACAAGTTGTGAAGCCACCAGGTTTCAAGAAGCATTTATCTGGTTTGTTTGTGAGCTTCAGATGAGCTGACCGGCTACTCACTGTTGTCACTAGAGCATTTGGTGATCATCATGCGGCTCCTGACAGCGTACTGCAAGTCTTAACTTATTTGACAAAATATAGTAATATAAGCTGTGTCATGAAATACCAAATAGGCCATTTTCCTTTTTTTTTGTGAAAAACTCTAGGTATCTTCTAAGGTAATTTTCTCGTTTGACTTGGTCTTTAAGAAGAATGCACTATAAATAGATTTAGACCAGCTGATGGTCAACTGAGGTTATCTCAGCTCTTAAAAATGAAAAGTTTGTTTTAGTTCTAAGTTTAGGCTACAATCCCACGAGCCTGGGCCTGCCATGTTGAGGTCTTTAGCTAATTTAGGCTAAGTTCACAAATGTAGTCAAGATGTGTAGTGAAGACCAAAGCAGCAAACAGTCTCCTTGAACCGTCATGATTGACTTTACAGCTCCAACTGACCTTCTTTTCTCTTCTATCAAATCAACAGATGCCCGGATTAAAGACCCCTGATTAAGGTTAATCTCTAAATGGTTCTCCTGGCATACTATAACATAGTATTTTTTGTTTATACAACTTGAATACTTGCTTACTTACTACCAATGGTGTACAGCAGCAGATTAAGTTTAACCAGAGATGCTCAAGAACGTTTTAAATGTTTTAAATCAAAACAATAATAACAGGCGCTGTGTTTCACACATGAATGAAGATATGCTGCCAGAAATCTATCAATCTGAAGCCAGTTGGGAACTGTGCAAGTCTAAGATGAGGCAAGCTTTAAATGAAGAAACCAGAACTGTACGTTTGTTTAGATCCTCCATATTTCAACAGAATTTCTCCAGATTGTTTGGAGGTGGACTGAAACTCATCAGTTCAAGTGGTCTAAGTCCACATGTTTGGTGCACACCAGTGCTCACATGGCAGAGTTCACACTTTTTCAAATCATCTGAGTTAATGGAGCAAGGTCGAACAACAAAGATTATACTAGCTACCATAAGGTCGCATATATCAATGTAGTGTTAAAAGTCCTGTCGACGCTCAAAGAAACAGGCAAAGAACATAAAGGGCTTTAAGACATTTCAGCACCAGAAACGTACCAGTAAAGAGCAAACCGATGGAAACCCACCTTGAGGTTTTTCACAGACAAATCCATACCCGCTCTCGCTACACTTCTCATCGTACCATTTGCCAGTTAAGTGAAAGTTGTGGTTGTTGGACAGAACAGTGCACAGAGGTTCATCAGCAAAGCCAGCCAGCCACTCATCCTCCTGAGTTACACAAAATCAAACACAAAACAAAGGGTTGGCTAAAGCATTCTGTACACGTTTTCCACTGAAACACCATTAAAATGACCTGCACTCAAAGCCTGCTAATGAACTTTTTAAAAACTATACCATTTTTAAACTATACCATTTTAAAATGTTTCATTAATAGTATTTTCTGAATTAGGTTAAAGCATCTGTTTGGTCAATTTGGGGTTCCGTGTAAAAATAAAGGTTGTCTCTTGCTTACATGACATCTGGCTGCTTGGAAGTACACAAAGTCTTCCTAGATCAATCAGATACATCAAATGTAAAGAAAAATACAACCTAAAAATCTAATCACCTGGATTTCAATGTTGTACAAGAACATTTTCAATTTATATAACTTAACTGTGGTGTTTTTCCATAATATTGTATCTCTAAATACCAAAAGATTCAGCCATTTTTTTAAATGTCATAACTCTGTGGACTTGTGAGGGACATCGTTTTACGAACAGTCAGTATGAAAATTCACTCGGGCTTACAGTGAGGTAGCTCTTTGGTTCAATAGGAGACCAGTTGGTGTAGCTAACTGCTTTCCCATTGGTCCATTTCATGGTGTCCTCATCCCTCAAGCCAATCCACACACCTACGGAGCTGCCCTGGAGCAACATGGTGATGTAGGCTGCAGAAACGATGGCAACACAACGGATAAATAAAAGCAAAAATAAAATATAGCAGAGCAGTCTTGCAGATATTAAAGGAGTTAAGCTTCTACCTTGTTCAATCTCATCTTCTATGGCAACTAGGGTGCCCTCAAATGAGGAGCAGATGGACTGGGCATCTTTCCAACTCTTTCCCTCATTTGGGCTGCCAGGGAGGTGAAGCAGAAGACACTGCCAACACACACATCCCACACAAAAGCATGAATACTGTGTGAAATACTCATCCGTATTCTCACAACACCAGCATGACTTTTGTTTGAAGGTAAAAATGTTTTAAGCTATGGCAAAAGAGAACATAGGAGCTTTGTTTGTTTGAAGTAAAAATGAGTCGCCGTGCATGCAGAATGACATATTTAAGATGTTTTTCTTTAAAAAAAAAAACCTATTTACCAGTCTCTGTGACTTAGGTGGGTAGTTTTTGTTTTGTTTGTTTATTCTGAATCCAAACCTGGTGCCCATTTGACCAAATGTAGAAAAATTGTTCCTGACGATATTTCATGCGACATTCGTTAGAGGGATATCGGACCAAAAAAATTAGGGCATGACTTCATCCGATTTAAGAGAACTGAGTAGCTGCAGCAGGAGGCTACTCTCATGTGGCCAGCGTACTGTAGAACGCCTAACCCTAACCCTAACCCTAACCCAGAAACAGCGAGTGGACGCAAAAACGTCCCGCTTCAACAGCAGCAGGTGTCGAAAATGTAAATGGTTGGTCACTTGTTGGGGAAAATTAATCCCAGTCTTTACAACGTGAGTATATACAAGTAGAGAGGATAATAATGCTTTAAAAGAGGATTATTTTAAAAGAAAACAAGCTATTGACAATGAAGCTCGTGTAAAGTTTATGTGCACTGTTTGCCTGTCACATGTTTTCTAATGAGCATATATGTCTTAACAGTTCCAAAACTGCACAGCAGAGCAGAAACTGTGAGAGTCGTGTCAGCGTATGCATGCATTTATGCGTCACAGCGGTCATGTCAACCTTATGCCCGAAGTACAGCCATCTCGCCGGACATCCTCCGATGTAGTGTGGCTCCCTGGGGGTCTCCAGCGGAGACACCGTCTTTCTTTTGCACACGTAGCCGTGGAGGTCGCCGCACTTACTCGTCGACCACTTCCCTGCGACATGCCAAAGACCTCAGCGCTTCCGCCTGCCAGTGCGCGTAAACCACCCACCGGCCGAGTCCCCCCCCCTACGATTTTACCTGTTGAGGAGGACATCCCCACGCACATCCCGTTTTTTCTCTGGCCGCTGTGAAAACCCCCATCGGCCCAGTTTTGGAAGTCTATTTCTGTCCGGTCACTCCACCTGGAAAAGGAGTTTCACAGTGAGCAGGGTTGTGGCCGATCTGCTGCTCACAATGCTGCCGGAAATGGGACTTTCTCGAGTCTCTGAATACCAAATCCCAGGAACCGGGTTTCCCCGTGCACTATTCAGTTTCCATTTCAGTAATGCACACAACAGGCTTTGCCTCATACCGATTAAGAGCTTTGGGTATTTATTCTCCGGTCAGGTCCAACGGCAGGGGAAGGTGCCAAGCAGGCCAACAGAATTTATCTTTCTGTTAAAGATTTTATTTCCTAATTTTCAAAGAAACGTCTCACGGGCTGTTTGTCCAGCCCCGGTTTTCTTCCACACCTGTAATCAGCTGGTAAATTATTCACAGCTGTGTTCAGCCGTTCTCGTTACATCTGCTCTGGCCTCATCCGTCTATTCTCCTCTATCCTCCTGCTTGCAACACGAGGCTCATTTCATTTTCTGGTTTCACCGTCTGCCACTCGTCATTCTTCCGTCCCCCTTCCTGACGGAGGGAAATCCAGCAAAGTAATCCGAGGCCCATTTCTGCTTTTAAACGGCTCGGTTAGGCCAGAAGGGGCGTTTGTAATAGGTGTCACGGTGTGATTTTAAGATAGCAGTACATGTTTTTGTTGGCATGAGCGCTGGACATCTGACATCAGTTCTTGCAAGTTTAAAAGTAAGTTTGTTCACTAATGAACTATGAAGGCAAGAGATCACAAAATGCTGCTGAAAGCTAAGGTTTTCCTGAATCGCAAGTGTTGCACAGCAATTTCCCTCAAGCTAAATAAAGCTTTTTGAATCGTTGAATTTAAAACACTCACACACCTGACTTCCGCTCCAGGTGGGCCAAAGGACAGGCCAATCCACCAGTCAGTTGGGCCCAAGGAGAGCTGAAAGCACACGGTGAACAAAACGGGGTTTAAACATAGAAAAACTCATTCACAACTTTCATTTTAACCTCCGTCTTTGCAAATACGTTCTCCCATTCAGCCACCCCCCTGGTCCTGTGCTTTGTGTCTGGTTTTGTTCCCATTATTCCCCCGCAAACCTCGACGCCACAAGAGACCTCTTTAGTCGGATTCAAAAGGCGGCCGCCAGCTGGCAGCCTCTTTCTTACTCCCCCTGAGTGGGGGCACTGGAGCAATCGTTTTAGCTTGCCGACATGTGTCGGCAAACACTTGAGTTTGTATGAGAAAAGAGACTGTCATTGTGTTCACACTTGTAGGTTTTTCAGCGAGTGTGTAAACTGTTTGAATAATAGGTCTTTATGTCCTTTCATTGAGCACAAACCTCTGTGATTAAGGAGATTTCTTTGACTGTACTTGGAGTAAGAGTAAGTGAAATCTATCTTTGCTTTAAGTACAATTCATTAGACTGAAAAAAGAAGGATTTGTAAATGAGGCAAACTGTGTTTGATTCAGGGTTTTTTTCCCTTCAAATTATACACCCCATGTTTCCTTTCAAAGGTGGAAAGTAGTGAAAGGTGTAATAAAGGAAATGAATGACTTAACTACCGTGTCACCACTTCGTGGTGATCATGAAGTGTAACCATCTTGCAAATCTTTTCATGTGATGTGACACAGACCTTTGTGCCAAATGTGGAAATGACTAACCCGCCGCAAGCGCTCCTTGACAAAGTGGAGCTCCTCTCTTGAGTGAATAGACAGCAGGTGGGCTCCCATCATCTGACAGGCCAGAGAAACAGAGTGCCAATTGAAGGGCTGCTTGGCCAGCAGGTACTCGGCTCCACGGTAAAACACCCAGGGCTCGCTCTCTGTGAGTAGTAAGAAGACATGTTCTCAAGTACCACAGTGGGAGACTTATTCATTATATTTGACATTCAATAATGCCATCCAGGTCTAGTGGAATTTATTGGGGGAAAAACCTGTTGGGCTAAGACAGGAAAACATAAACAGGAAGCCACAAAAGAACTGGAGGTGAAGTCAGTGTCTGCAGTGGGAACACAGCAGACAGTATTTTTAGTTTTTTTTTTTTTCCATCTACACACGTGTTCTCCAAGTTCACTATAAAGTGGAGTAACAGCATTTCCAGCACAGCTCTCTGAGGGTGCATTTACGAGGAGGTCTCCCAAAAACACTGGAATCACTCCAGAGTAAACACTGCTCTTGAGATGTTTGTGGATTCTCAGTCATCCAGCTCATCCTAAGCCTAAGTGCTTAGACAGAAACAAACTGTACTTCTTTCATTTTCGTAAGCAAAAGGCTTCGTCTGCTCAGTCAGTGTGTTGGAGCTTTTGAGTGACAGGGGAAATGTTTAACAACTATGCACTTGGGAGTCTAAATCATCTACAAGCTGTTTGAAATATCTTTTAATAAACTGGAAAGGCTCTCAATTTACCAGCGGAAGGACGTTCTGACCCTACCTGGGCTTCTGAACTGTGGGCGGTTACTGAGAGAACGACAATGCAAATTCAAGCAATGCAAATGAGCATCCTCCTAAGGGCAGCTAAGGAGTTCAGTTATCAGGGAGTGGGTTCCTCTACATCAGGCTTTGGCAACTCGGGGCCTGTAGGGCTGCTGTCCCGGAGGTTGGAAAGTTTTCCCTGCTTCTACACCTGATTCTGAAACAAATGCATCTGATAATGTTGTGTTGATGTGAATCAGGTGTGATGAAACAGGGAAACCCCTAAAACCTGCAGGACAGTGACCCTGGAGCCCCGGAGTGGCCCACCCCGGCTCCACGTTAACCGGAGCCACCTGAAATCACTCGGGCATCTGGCCAGAATTCCCCCACCCCATCACCCGTGGGAAGTGTTTCAAAGATGTTTGACTGGGAGGAGGCCCTGGGGAAAATACAGGACTTTTGGGGAAACAATATCTCTTGGCTGTCTATTGGGACCGCCAAGTATTGGGGTCCCCTGGGGGGTGGTAAAGAAAGCAGCTGGGAAGAGTTAGGGTCTGAGGATCACTGGTAAGGATGCCCCTTCAACAATCTGGTTTAGCATAAAGAGCAGGAAATGGATGTGGGGATGTTTTGAATTGCATTTCAGTGACTCATCTTTGAAGGCTGTGCAATGCAACAGTTACGTTTTTACATACAAATTTTAAAATAAGCCAGATCATAAGAAGATGTATGTGGCCACGTTTGCTTAATACCACACACACACAAACAAAATCTGCAGTCCCAACTCCTCCAAGTTTGTAAGGAAATCTGTTTTACTTACGCTCAGTATACCAGTACGGTTTCTTCAGTTTATCACCTGAAACACACAACAGTTTAGTGAATGAAAGGGCACAGGTGCTTGTAAAGGCAGTACGGCGCCAGCCATTACGTGGGGGCTCACCTCTGGAAATCTTGCAAATCCATTCATGTCTGGTGTCACAGGGCTGTGGCATGAGAGCGTTGGTCAGGTCGCTGTAAACAGCACAGTCCCTTCTGTCATCCTCCTCGTTCTTGTCCTCGATAAAAGATGTCACCACCTGCACAAGGCAGCGCAGGCTTAACAATACACACACCTCTCAGAAATCACAGAGCAGATGGGCACCGATGACCTTTAAGCACTTACTGGAGAACCATCAGACCACTCCCAAACTCCAAGATGTTCAGGGTCTCTCTTATTTAAACCTACCCAGAACCAGCGACCCTCTGTTCTAAAAACAGCACAAAAAAGGGAGAAAAACAAGAACACTGCAACATAAATCCAAAAAGAGAAAACTTAACATTTTTGAGATGTAAAATTTGGCAAAGTGCCTGCACATGTTTTTGAAAAAAACATTTTTCTAATGACAATAAATACGTTATTTTAGTCCTTAAGAGTTGCACATTGATGAGAGATTACATTTTTAATCAAAACATGTAATAGAGGGAGAATAGAGGGATTCAGATCCTGCAATGTATCTCATGTTGCCAGAAAAACAAAAAAGGGCCCAAAAGGGCCATACCAACCCTTCAAACATGGTACTGAGGAGGTGCTGTACAAAAAGCTGCTCCTTATAGTGCTGGAAACTGGCCAGCTGAGCCCCGAGGGCCTGGCAGAAGAAGTCCGCCGCCATCCAAGAGCGCTTAATCAGAATCTTCTCATCGTGGAACACCTGTGAGAGCAACACTTACATGGTTTTGTTCTCATTTTTTTCTACATTAACAACTGAATAACTATACCAATGACTACAATGAGTAAATCTAAAAAATCCATTCTTATAAACAATGAAAAAGTTCTGGTTCCTTTGAAACTGAGCTCTGAAACTGAAAGCGAGCAGAAGGCAGAGTTCATCCTTCAGATTATACGTATGTGTGCAGAAAAAAGCAGAGCTAGATTTAGTTATCGCTGACATTGCCCTCATTGTGTTTTCACTCCTGGTTGGAGATTTTTTCAATTCGACATTTGCCCCTGGTGATGTGCAAATCTTTGAAAAACAGATGGGGTCCCACCTTAAAGCAGAGGAGCAGCTCGGGCTGTGATTCCCAGCCTGGAGGACAGGGGGCGTAAGCATCAATGTGGTGCTCTGGCAGCTGCACCTCATGGTAGCTGCTGACACTCTGCTCACACACTGACAGGGCCTTGTGGGACTTGCAGTCTTTCACCTCCCAGTGACCCAGAGCTGGTCCACCTGACATGGCCACACATCCACCGGTACTGACTGAGGAACAGGAGAGATGAGGGGGCGTTCACTTTAAGACTCGGCTCCGCCTGAATACAACCACAGTGCATTTGATTGTTATTGGTATGCAAGTCTTTTCCAGCAGTCGGCCACCTGGCTGGTGTTTGTTCCAGTTTGTGAAGGTGAGAGGCAGAGCGGAGCCATTGTGTGGAAGCCAGCTGTACTCCCCCTCACTCTCCTGGTCCATGAGGCCGATCCAGTAATACATGCTGCTGTTGGCTCCACTTGCACTCAACAAACTGTTGACAAATGCCTGCTCGAATCTGTAAATGTGAGGAAGTTGAGATAGGAGGGACTGTAAAAAGTAGTTTTTTTCCCAATTGGACAAAGTAGCAATGAATCCTTTGCACAGTAAAGCACCTGTCATTCACAATAAGGAGCGGCGCCTTGCAGTAATATCCCATCAAAGCATCTTCGTAGCTTTGTTCATGGGTGGTCACTGTGTAACAAGAATGGCCATGTCGCCTCCACCCCTAGAAGAACCAGAAAAAATAAAGCCCAAATTTAATTATCAATGATAATATATTTTAATGTTGACTATATTTTCAGCAGAAACCCAATTTCTACCTTACTTGTGCTCTCTAAGACCTAAATAACTAAATCTGTAATATTAGTGGTGTGGACTCTAAAAAAACACCACAGTCTTCTACCACTCAAACTGAAAGCGTCTCTCTATTAAATGGGTTTCTCGTGTTTTATGTTTTCATGCAAAAGGACCCTAAAAAATCCTTATCTCCTCCATCCCATTCCTGTATGTTACCACTTCAAATATCGCCTGTCTGACTGCAACATCTCCCTTCAGACTGTAAAACAGCGGCAAAGGTGTTTTGATAAATGTCCAGTCTGATTCTTCCTGCGAATGACTAAATAATTCTTAATATTTACCATCTAGTGGGAACATTCTGGTATGTCTAGCCACCAGCTCAGACAAAACCAGCTCCCACGTTACTTTATGGGCATGCCCCTGGGCAAGACAGCTTGAAAGAAATACTAACAAAAGTGTGTTTTATTTGGTTTTATGAAGCGTAATAAAATGGTAAGACAGTGCAGCAAAGCCATTCAACTTAGGAAACAGGTTAGCTATGCAAGGCTGGGTGTGGTAGACAAGCACGGGCGTTGAAGATTTACAGATAACTCGGATTTTATGGGATCCTCAAAGCATTAAAACAGATTTAAAACAGATTTTCTATCTTCTGGTATATTTCTGTGGAACAAGGTGTAGGTCTGTGTTTTCATAAACATGTGATTGCATGGAGTGGAAAGTGTGTTTTGACAAGTGGTGTGAATTTTACCCCTTCACCCTTACGCCCCCTCTAATCCCAAGCTCCTCATGGGGTCCAGATGCCTAAACACACATCTGCATTCAGACAAAATTCTGAGCTTTCTTTAAGACTGGACAATAGGTGATTTCTCCATTCCTTGTGGATGCATTTTTCGAGGAAAACTAGGCTATGGAAAATATGCTTTACTTGTATGAACTGGTTTAAGACAAACAACATGCCTATCTAAGTGCAAAGTGTGGCTCTCCTTGCTAAACCCCTGGCAGGAGTCATGAGAAACTGCATGAGCGTGCTGGCTGATATTGTGTCCTTAGGGTCATTTTTTTGCCTCATGTTCCAGGGTACAAAGTAGCCTTATGACTCAGGAGTCTGATATTCTTGTAAACAGAGTCAGAGTGCAACGCGAATGCCAGACAATACGTCAGTATTTGAGTGAATCAGCTCATTGTGCCTCTGAAAGGGTAACTTGCTCTGAAGCTGAACTGCAGCGGGCGTGTGGCTCTGTCTGGTGCGAGCCCCGATCTCTACGGCGCCTTTGTCCGACCGTACAGCACATAAGCTGCCTAAAACCCCCCAAAACAGGGGTCGATTTCCAAAAGTGGAAAGGGTACGGAACAAAGGAAATAGATTTCCTCGAAAAATCAAGTCGCCATGTGACAACCTGCAATCACTTTTCATGGCAATTGAGTCTTTTGTCTAAAAATACGGGCATAATCAATGTTTTAAGAAATGAAATATGATCCACTGGCAAACCAAACATCTTGGGATTATAGACGTAATCTTTTCCTGTTTTCTAAATGGAACTGTGCCACCTTGTGTTTGACATCTGAACACTCAGCATTACAGTATAGATATTCTCCCACCCTGCAGCGTAACATGCTCCCACAATGCCTGATGAGTGATGTGAGTATGTGTTGACTTGTACATGCTCGTGTATTTCTGATTCTACCTCAGGACATCCTTCGTCCCAGGGCTCACGGGTAACAGGCTTCTGGCTATCTCTTCGGCACACAGCAGGCAGGCGCTCTTCACACGAGGCCAACAGCCAGTTACCTTTCTGTGACAGAAGCGAGTGTTTTACTCAGACGTATACAGCAAGTAACTGCATGTAATTGTGAACCGATACTGCCAACTTTGGTGATGGTGAAGCAAGAGCGGAAAAAGAAGAGCATCTGAAAGAGAAGTGTTTTTGTCCCTTTTTTGGATACATTTGATAGTTGTAACTGTGTGTCTGCATTTTTTTATGCAGAATTTTTTTTTTGGCACTGTAAAACAGCAACTAAGGACGAGAGCGATTTGGAGGATGCTTCTACATAACTGAGGAATGTAAATAGCATGTGTTTACGGAATACATTGTTTGCAACATTTGCAATAAGTTATATTTCCAAATGTCCACTTTTAGCTTCAGCAGATGAAGGGTTAAACACTCTTGTTCATGAACAACATTTGACAGACATATTATTCAGTGTGTCAGAAATTAGATGTTGCTCTACCCTTTTTTCAGGAAAAAAAAGGAAAAGAGGAAACTAATAGCTACTTGAACAGCGAAGAGAGGGAAAATATCAATTACTGCACTTCTAAACGGGTCAAAAGAAAACATTAATTTTCTAACCAAAGTTTCCTACCTCTCTGTTAACTTTGGCACAGAGAGCTGCATCCGTCAGGTTGTGAACAGGGTGATACTGGTGCCAGAGAGTGAGAGTTACTGGTGAGCCATCTGACCACTGGACAGCTGGTGACAACGCCTGTTTCCGAAGACCAATCCAGAACTCCCCACTCTCCCCAGACACTGAGAACATGGAGACAAACCGAAGCAGGCAGACAATAAAAAAACAAAACAAATGATGGATGATTTATGATAAACTCCAGAACGCCTCAGTTATCCTTTGTTGCATGAAGATCCTCACAGTTAGCCAATAGGATGATGAGCGCTTCCACTTCCGACAGAGAGTGGAGGCTGGTGAGGTTTGCCCCCTGGGAGTTACAAGCCTGGGACGACTTCTCCCAGCTCCCAGCTTCAGTTTCCGTCAGCACACGGTAGCAAAAACCGTTATGAGGCCACCAGCCTTCAGCACACTCAGTGTGGATATACTGCCAATTCTCTGAAAAGGGAACAAACCACAAGAAGGAAAAAGCAAAGTGAAAAAAAATAAATCATCCAAACAAAACAGGCCAGAAAAACACAAACTCACAACAGACATTGTTTCGGTCTAGTCGCACAACAGAGCAAAGGAAAGAGAGGGGGGGTCAGAAGTTCACTCCCCAGGTGCAGAGCAGCTGCTGAGACCTAATAAAACTTCTCGTAACTTTCGCACTTGGAATCCTAATATTGCGCCAGCCAAGATGGCGCTTAGCGGCCCTGAGGAGGCAGAGACGCTGACGTGGGGGCGTGTGTCTCACCTAGCGGCTCCGCCCTGCGCGTCTGGTTGGGGGTCTTTTTGCAGATGTAGGGCAGCGCCGACTCACAGGCGAGGCTCTGCCAGTGTCCTTCGTAAGCCGAGTTGTACACGCCGCACTGTCTGTTGTCCTGTAGAGGGCTGGCAGGCAGAGCTGCCGGGATCAGGGAGAGTAACGGGACATGAGCTAAGGGGACAATGTTTCCCTGTTGTTAAGGAGGAACCCTGAACATTTCAGAGCACTAAACCTCCAAAACAGTGTTAATTATCCTCCAAACTTTAGATCATGCATGTTTGTTCTGATTGTGGTATAAAATGGAGAAAGAGAATGCAATAAAAGTAGTGAAATCCATAAAGACAAATCAAACACTATCAGGGAATGGATTGTAGTTTGTAAATCAATGCAGAGGGAATTGTGCATAGACAGAACACTCTCTTATAGCAAAACTATTTTTTCAATCCTTTTTTTAGTACAAACACAAGTCAAAACTGCGGCTTGAAACCTGAGCTGTGCACGGATTCAGAGATCCGTCCAGTAATCTGTACCTGTGGTGAAATTCACCAGTGAGAGAGGTGCTCGGTCAGACCACTCCCATCCACTTCCATCCTTAAGGTGGTTCAGCCCGATCCATACCATTGCTCCCACGCTTGACAGTCGATCTAACCCATGATAAGAAAAAAACATTGTTCCGCTGGAGTTGTCACAAAAACATCTATCTTGATCAAATTTTCACAAAATCCAAATCAATTTTTTTTTTTTGTTTTAAACCTACCTCTTATATACCTGTGTTCTGCCAGGCTGGTGATGCTGAGCAGGTTTCCCCCTTGAGCCTGGCAGGTAGACAGTGCCTGACTCCAGGTAAGGATGGTGTACAAGTTGAACTGGTAGCAGGCCCCCAGCTCCTGGTTTGACTCCCAGAAGTGGTCACAGCTGAAATCTACGAGTAAAGCAGAGGAAATAAAACCAGGAATCAGGATGTGTTGGGAGCATATCCATCACGGGTTAGCGTTAGCATTGGCAGAGAGGGGGCATCTCGGTGTTTGAATAAAAAAAATTAAAAACCCTTAATGATTTAAAGACAAAGATTTCACTTAAAACTGTATGACCAATAATAAAAACTGGGAGATGCAATAAGTGAAAACAAGCCTTACAAAAATAATGTAACAGTATTTATTGGGGGGAGGGGGGGGACATCATGGATATGACACCAAAATACCTAATAAAACACACTTGAAATATAGAGATGAATTTACTGTGGTTAGTAGCCTATTTTTAAAACAAATAGCAAAAAAAAGTGGGCTCACGCTGTAATTTACATGTCTAAAACAAATGCCTGACTAAATAAGGAACTCAGTCTACAGCATGTGGAGCCGATTATCAGGAAACACGGACCCAAGCTGGAATTGGTTACAAAAAAATGCAATTCAGCTCAGAGTGTAGCAGGACATGTCGGCTGATCCCTGTCAGCTGTGTCTGAAAACGGGAGCAAAAAGCATTCAAAATGAACAACTAACAACAAATTAAATAAAAAACAAGTCAGACTCGATGTTTGTAACAAAAGTGGGAGAAATAGACCCGTTTTTCAGTGGGGAAGCTTCAAAAAGCCAGCTGTCGGCTTTACCTTTCACCGGACAGAAGCCCCATCGCTCTGCCTGATCGTAGCGAGTGGTGGTGGAACACCAGTGGAGATGGTCCTCGCGCCCCTCGGTGGTGCACTCAGCGTACCACTTGTTGTTGTAATTAAAGGGGAAAGCACAGGGCATCCCGTGGGAGTTTCCCAGCAGAGTGTGAATATCTGCAAATGAAATCAAACACATTGACTGTTGACTGTTTCAATTCTCATCTTTCAGATCTAAAGATAAATAAATAAAAAATCATAAAAGTTAAAGGTTCACGGTGTAGGAATTCCTCCATCTAACGGTGAAATTGTATTTTGCATTCTAACAAATCGTGCTCTCTAGTGCCTCGCGTTTTCAAATGGGCATTGCAACTACAGTGGCTGTCAAGCATCAATAAGTAATGACACCATGACTTCCACATAATCGAGCTTGCTCTCGGGTGATGAGGTTTGTAATTTAAAAGAAATTACAAACTGCAATGAATCATTAGTCTGAGTTTGTAATTACTCCTCAAACAGGATAGCGAATTACATTGCCATGTTAGATAGTTTTTTAGTTTGTAGCTTGCTATTACTAGCCTAGGTTGTAGCTAGGGTTAGCTAACAACTTGACACAATGAAAAAACGTGTTGTGGATTAGCTAGACAGGTAGACTAGCTCTTTATGTCCCTCTCTTTTTCATAATGGCGGAACGATAGTAGAAACCTCCGTGGACTTACCCATCCCACGTATATATAGATAGGAAATTCTTCGCTCTTGAGGAGGTCATTTTACATCAAATGAGGACACATTTATAAATGAAGAAAATTATTTTAGTTAATACTTAAATAAAATACTACACATTGTCCCTTTAAGGGTTTACCTTCATACGGGTGTGAACAGGGGCCTTCTCTCGGGGTGTTGAACCGTTTCCACTCGTGGTAAATGTTCTTCTTCACCACCACCAAGCGTCCGGACACGCTCACCTTCCACTGGGACGCCCCGTACAGCATGTTCCGGCGGCAGCGCCACCACAGCACCGGGTGGGTCCCGTCGCACTCGAACAGGCCGAGGGGCTGCGCCGCGTCCGAGGCGTTGAGGCCCAGGCAGGAGCTGGCGCCCAGGTTAAACAGGCGGTGCTGGGACACCCACTTCCACAGCATGCGGCGCGTGGGACTCCCGCAGTCCCGCAGCACCAGGCTGGAGCGCTCCACCGTGACGCAGCGCTTCAGGGGGATGCTCTCCAGGATAAACAGACCCTTTCCTGCAGAGGGGAAGACGAGGGGACATGTTCAGACGCGGAGGAATGGAGCCAACGGACGGAGAGGCGTGAGGGCAAGAGGGGCGTGGGGCGTCCTGGACGACATGGGAACTGGACACGAGTGTGCACGGTAGACAGGGGAGGATGAATGGAGTCGTGCACTTGCAGCAAAAAAGGAGATTTATTTCCAGTGACGAGGCCCGCCTCTTCCCCAGCTCCACAACATGGGTTTTCCACATATGTTTCTCCGCCAAAACTCATTCATTTCACATCAAGGCTGGCAGAAGGAATCCCGTCTTTAAAACAAATGAGAAGAAATTCCTTCCTTCGTAAGAATGCCGCATACTTAAGCAGAAAAAACAAGGCTGTGCGTTTCCAGATATAATCCAGCGTTTGCTTTGTTTGTGTTGCATTTTAAACTCTTGCAACGATTGTTTTGAAAAGGCGTGCACGTCCGCCACATGAGGGGTTCAGATGTCTGCGTGACCACAAGCGTTGCATGTGGGGATGTATTTTCAGTGTCCGGATATCCTCATTCTGTGTTTTTACAAGAACGAACTACACCAAAATATGAACAAACATTCAGCGTTTTGCTGCGTCCTGGAGGGACAGTTAGGGCGCAAACATCTGACCTGAGACACATGGGAAAAGCAGGACGGAATGAAGAAAAAACGTTTGAATCGTCTGCACAGCGGCTTTGAATAACCGTCTCCTATTCAATACTGAACAAACAGCACGGAAAGTGAGCATGAAGCCAAATGCTGGACGTATTTTCCCTGACCGATCAGTAACCGGCAATGCCATTTTTCTGAAAATAAAAGTGTCTACCAAAATGTTTCAAGCCTAATATTTTAACGATCTCTGGTTTAAATCCTGGCTGGGGGTCTTTTCTGTGTGGAGGTTGCACATTTTCCCACAACATGTGTGGGTCCTACAATCCAAAAACATGCGTGCAAGGTCAAAAGGCTAAACTGGTTCTGTGTAGTCCTGTAATGTGTAGTCCTACCCTCCTTAAAATAAGCAGGTGTAAAAAATAGAAGGATTTTAGCAAGAAAAATAGTACCAAAACATCCAATTAATCTAGTTTGACAAAGGCTACACATTTAAAAAAATGTTCACCACTAAACCATCTACTCATTTAACAGCAATTTGTAAGTATTGGGTAACTAAAAGGCTAAACTGTTGTGAACCATGAAGAAAATGGTTTCCCCATTGAAGTTCAACACCAACAGTCGGAAGAAGGGGAAACAATCTTAGTTAGAATTTCTTAAAAACACCAAATGTTTCTATGCATGCACACCTGGAGAGCTGCACTCCTCCTCTAAAGAACCCCCCCCTAAAAAGAGCCTGGCTGTGGCTGACATCTGGATCGTGACACACTCTGGACTTAACAGATGTGGAAGTTACCTGTAACACGGGTGCTGAATTTCAGCATCACTTTAGCTTATTTTTTGTTTTATTGTAAAACTTAAAGTTTTCTGAGTTTTCTGAGTCCATTCAGTCAGAGGAACTGACAAATAAGCCTCTGTGACAAGTGTTAGTGAGTCGTATTATTTTTTACATTTCTTTATGTTTATTTTGTTCATATTATTACATCTTTTTTTATTTTGTTGACTAAGTCTTTCTCACTCTACTGACTTTACACAATCAAATTCAGTAGTTAACCCAAAATTCCAGTGAAATTCTGCGGGTTTTTTTTAACATCCCCATCTTTTGTTGCCCTCTGTTCCATCCACTGCAAACATTTTTTAAGCTTTAAGAACACCATACCTCAGTTTCAAAACGCCTTGTTGTCTTTAAACATTTCAATAAATGCTACGTTTACTTTGTCAGCCAAAAACGTATTCAGATTTGACCATGTATGTTTTCATACGGTAAACACTCAAAAACTACAAAAACCAAGCTGAACGTAATTCTTTTCTTAAAATGAACTTTAAAAAAGCACTGACGTTTATTTTAAGATACTTAATCATAGATGAAAAACAAACAAACAGGGGGGGGGTTAAGGCTGTAATTGGAGCCTGATGCTGCCTTTGGGCACAGACTGTGTTCCAGTGGCCATTACGGTAAGGACCGCTCACGGAACTTGTTGCCCGGTCGTCAGAAGGCAGCTCCGGGGGGCACAGCTCCACCTCTCCGTGGAGGAGCAGGACAACCCGCCTCGAGGCGTCGGTGGAAGCGGCGGCTGCGGCCGCTCGAAAGGAAAACTTACTGTAAAACTCCGAGAGCTGGTCTTCGTGCAGGACCTCGTCGTCCTCCGCGGTGGCGACGGCGGCACGCGCGCAGCCTCGCGCCAACAACACGCTCGCGCAGATAATCGCTACGGCGGCAACGGACGCCTCGCGACGGCGGCGGCAGGGCGACGACATTTCGACGGCGGCGCGCGGTGTCTGCCCCCCGGGGACTCCCGGGCAGAAAGGAGAGAGCTTGTTTCCCCCCCTCTTAGAAAAACTTTGTCCGAGTTGGGCTTTTCAGCGGGGGGAACCAGCGATGTCACGTCTTACGGAGGAGCTGCTGCTGCTGTAGCTGCTGCTGTCCGGCGGGAGAGAGCCGCATTCCTGCCGCTCCGCGGTGCGCCCACCGCAGCTCCCCAGGCCAAGAGAGAGAGGGAGGGATAGATAGATAGATAGATAGATAGATAGATAGATAGATAGATAGATACTCCTTATGTTCCCTTTTACACAAAAACCTCCCGGGAACTTTCCCAGTTCTCTTACTGTATAGTTCCCTGGAGAACCCAAGCACTGACCTTCTGAGAAAGTTGGTTCTCTTCAAGGTTTATTTTAACAGTCAACTTTCTTCAAAGTCCTCTGATGTTTTCTTTGAAGACATCTATTAAGTTCCCAGTTAAATTTGCTATGCTGAACAAACAATACAACATAATCTTACACAAAATGAAAATCAAATGTATTACTATATATACATATAGTTTTTTTTTGTTTATTTAATCTGAAACCTGAATATTTCCACTAGTCCGAAGTCAGTACACAAACTAAGCAATAGCTTTCCAGCCCCTTCTGGGATCCAAAAGGTGTTCCCAGGCCAGATGGGATATATGGGCTATATTTAACCCCTCTGGTGTGCTCTAAGTCTGTCCTGGGGCATTGTTCTAGTTGGACATACCTATAAAACTTTAGACAGAGGCAGCCATCCGCACCAAATGCTCACACCACCTCAAATGACTCTTAATTCGGGGAAGTCACTCCACCTATCCTCAGGTTTTTATTATTTGTTCAGCTCTTCTTCTCTGGTGCTTTAGCAGTTTTTGAAAAAAAAAAATTGCCAATGCTATTCAAGCAGCGCAATCAAATATGTTTGATAGACATATTTTAAATTAATTCAAAGAGATGAAGAACTGAGTTTAAAGAACAAGTAAAACAGCCAAAAGTCCTGTCAGCAGATCCCATTAAAAGTAGCCTTGTTCTTGTTAGTCTTCAGTTTAAACTTCTTACTCCTCTAAAAAGTTTAAACTAATGTTTCAATGTGACTGACAACTTTTTTTAGGTCATATTTGGTTCTGTCATGAAGGGGATTTCTGTAATGTAAAAGTAATTTTGGGATTTATAGTTAAATCCCACTAGATGGGACAACTGTGCCACCTGCTGACATTGACCGGTGGACTACCTGCATTAATTGCGTTTCCTTGGAAATCTTTCAGACAAAACCACCCCAAACAAAAATGGAAAAATGCAGGATCAGTTTAATCTGCTATCGTCACACAGTTATCTCCATAATCTCAAAATGTATTCAGTCCTGCAACGGAACAAGACAGCAAATGGATGCCATTCACATCTTTGCATCTATATCAAAACCTGAAATCAAACAAAACATCTTACAACAGGTCAACCTTTTACTTTATTTGCGCACCACGTGCTACGAAAACCAAGTCAACGCGAAGGCTCAGCCTTGCTTCACAATAAAACAACAAGCACAATATTTTTTAAAAAAGACATATTTTACAGGATTTAAACATTTTATGAACAGTTTCTTTTCAGTAGTCGACCACTCGTAATGCCGATTCCGGCCCCAGACTGCGTGTGGCAGTCCACGAGCACCAGTTGATCCGTGCAATTGTGTGTTCAGTGTTTTACGTCACGGCCTCGGCCGTGCACCTTTACAGTAGTACATTTATCAAGTCATGCTTTTCTCTTCAGCGTTTCCCACTGTGTTCAAATGCCTGAATTAACTTAGAGATTCATACAAAAAAACTCGTACCATGTTTCCTTTATGCAGTCCTCATACATACACACACACTCACACGCACGCACACACGCACACACACACACTCGAATGATAGCTTGTGTTGTCTCCAGTTACTCATCAGTAGTGATTTGTTGCTACGATCCTTTCTCTCTGCGGGTTCCTATAAGTTACATTTTTAAAAGTAGATGTTGAGCTTCTGAACAGAGGGTTGGTCCCCTGAGGAAAAAAAAAAAACACCAACAGAGAGAAAACTTGAAAATATTTTCCAGGAAACTGATTTACACATGATTGTTGTCAATAATAATGATTCTTATTATCATTATTCGTGCATTTGATCCAGGGCTGAATGCTGGTTAAATACTTCCCCAATACGCTAAAAGTGAGGTCTTACTGGTGTGTCGATGTGTGTGTTTTGTTTTTTTTAAATAGGATATGTGAATGTAAATTAATCAATGTTGCTAAAAGTATCTATATGTTTTTGAAGAGAGATTGTCAACATTCAGACCAGCTATACCCAGTTTTCATGTAAAGATCAACACTGAAATCCAAAGCGGTACGTGCTAGAACAAACTTGTACTTTTCCAAAAGCCCGCAGGCCATCTGACGACGTGTCTTTCTGGGTAATGGGATTGCCGAGGGGCTGAGGTGTCTTAATTTGGTCTGATGGGAAATTTACAGCGTCAGCTTTGGAAGCACTTGATAATAATTGGACCTTTAAACAGACTTTTTGTCTTTCCGATCGACTCGTTTTCCTACTTTCCACGTCTTCCAAATCACATGACTTTATATCCATTAAATATATCTCCACCTGTGTTTTGCCAACTATTGAACTACTTTGTGTCATGGAAAGAGACGAGGAAAATCCTTATTATGAATTTCATTCTGGCACTGCAGTTGGATTTTTCTTGAAAATAAGAAAGAGTATTATCAACTCTTTTTCTGGAAAATAAACATCAAAGTCTTACCGTCTGCCATTTTGCCTTTGACCTCTCCGCCTCAAACCTGGCCACCTCTTTCTGGTCATGGAGTGATATCAGCACTCTCCACACAGCCAGCAGGATCAGGCCGATACACACGACAGAGAGGGACACCCCCAGAATAATCATGGGGATGTTTGGAGGCTCTGGGCAGTCTGGCGAAAGATCAGAAGACGTCACTAGTGTTTCCCCTGAACGACAACATGTTTGGCTTCCTATGCTGGACAGCTTACCATACATCTGTAAATTGTAGACAGTTGACCACGTCTCTCCTTCTACCACACTGAAAGACACCAAGCACTCATTTTCCATCATTAGCGTGCACGGCTTAGAATGGTTCTTGTCATAATCTGAAAAGCATTGTGAACATACACATTCATAAGGAGCGAGTCTATTATAAATATATCATTTTCCCTTTGTAGTTGCACTTGAATGTAAAAGGATATACTCTCCTCTGTTGTGCTGTCAGTGTGATTTCCATATCAAAGTCTACAATCTGTTGTGTGCTTATGTGTGTGGACCACACAAAGTCTGAAAATGCCCCCCCCGATAATCAGATATGCCTCTCAGCTTGCACAAGTACAGGGGTTTTAAAATCAACTCCTCTATGGGAGGAAGACCAAGTCCTTTGACTATTCACAGGCACTACAATAGCTCTACCTGTACAACAAGGTAAATAATATGTTCCCCATTGTTCAGCGCTGCCCGAAAAGACATGGATGGTGTTGTGTTAAAGAGGAGGGCACAGGTTTCGGAAGGGACACTCGAGTCGATGGGGGTCGGCATTCCTCCAAATCACTGACCCACAATGAAACTTAGCATGTTGATACAGATATCGCTAACTGAGCTGAGAAAACAGCTAAGGTGTTTAAACTCTTAAAAAAGAGTGTAAAAATATGCATTTTGTCAAAGTACCAAGAGAAAGTTTTCTTTTAATTTAAGTTTATGAAAGATACATATCACAAGTTGATTTTTAACTTGGGCATTTTCTTCGTGGTAAAGTACTTTTTTTTTAAGGGACTCGCCTTCGGTGATTTGACATCAGTGACTAATGACAGTTAACTTGCAGAGACTTGAAGTTTGCTTGATGTCTTTTTTGGCAGTTGCTCAGAAAAACAACCGTGCGGTTTGCTGTCATTCTTATATCGACATGACAGTTGCAACAAAAGACCTTTTTATTGTCAATGTTTCCTTGTCAGTCTATTCCAAGAAAAGTTTGACATGCAAGTTTAGATACCAAGGCCCGGATCAGATACTCTTTCACCAAGGTCCACAACCATAAAACTCAACTGTAAATAAATACTTCAGATGTTAATACGGCCCTGTGCTAAATCTGAGACATTTTCATGATACTGTATTTGTCCTAAACCCTCAGGATAATTTCCATCCAAACAGCAGTTTCTTAATTATTATTACATAATGCCTAAAAAGGAAATGTATAAACTGGTTTCAATAATTTTTGCTTGGAATTCTTTCCTATTTAAAACATTCACAACCATGACCACTTTAAGATATTTAGATTGTTGTCTTGATGTAAGAAAGATTACTTAAATGTCCCAGAAAATTTCTTTGAAAGAAAAAATAATATCTACCGTGCATTACTATGGGATTTCAGACAAAATAACGCATATAAAAGCAACAAAATTAATGAAGAGATTTTTAAAAATTGAAAAGTGGGATTTCTAAAGGTTTCAAGAATTGAATAAATGTTTTCATTTGAAGTTTTCCTGTTAAATCCTGGACAAATATAAATGAAATTTCTCTGGATGTTGCCATACAAACACACAACTCGCCGATCAGATAAGATAAATAAAATCTAAAACGCCCCAAACAGGTTGTACGAACGGCATACGCCGTTGCCCCAGCCTTACCTGCTGTTCTGTTGGTGGATATTTTGGCAAAGCTACACATTTGATCACACAACCCAGGATCATTCTTCTCCTGGAGGTGGCACTCCACACAGCCCCTGCCGGTAAAACACAGAAAAAACAAGAGGTCAGGTTCGTCTGGGAGATGGCAGAGTAACCCCCAAAGCTTAGCGGAGCTCCGATCGCTGACGTGGGGCACAAAGAGGAATCCCGCTTTCGGGCACTTATCAGCGTTTTCCCAAGGCCTCACTTGCTCTCTGTCACTATACGTCCCTGTAACAGTGGTATCAAATGGCTCCGGTCCTGACAGCTGCTTTACAATGGAGAAACGAATCTCCATTGGGGACATTAGTTCCTTTTGATGCTACATAGAAGGTGTAGACACGTGTGAACAAGGAGCCCAGAACCTGATATCCCTGAACTTGAAAGAACAGACGTATCATGTGCCACAAGAAAAAGGATCTCTTTTTAAAAAAAGTTTTAGGTTCGGATACATCAATCATAACATCCATCCATTCATGTCGCATACTTCCATCCAACCATTATCCATCCATCCATCTATCCATTATTGTTACCAGTAGAACCGGAGCCTATCCCAGTGGTCAATGGGTAAGAGGCCTGGGTACTTCCTGGACAGTCCGCCAGTCCATCGCAGGGCTCGTGTCGCATACTTATTTATCCTATCTTAGGGTTGTGGGCCTGATAGAGCTAGCACCGTGCAAAATCCTCAACATCTCAGCCACATTCGGGGAAAGGAAGGGGTGACTGGAGGCGGTTCCTCACCTCGCGGTGCTGCAGGAATCTCCGCACGTTGGGCACTTCTCACACTTGTCCCCGGACGCCCCGGGCACAGAGCAGACGCACTGGCCGCACACGCATTTCCCCCTGCCGCTGCACAGCCCGCCGTCCTCCGACGCGCAGCTCTCGGTGCTGGCGCTGCAGTTGCAGTACTCCCCCGTCCAGCCGCCATCGCAGCGGCACTCCCCGCAGTCGCACGCCCCGTGACCTGCCAACGCAAAGCCCATCCACCCATTATCGTTACCGCTGATTCCCTAATGGGGTCCTAAGTGAAGCCTATCCCAGTGGTCAATGGGTGAGAGGCGGGGTACACTATGGACGGTCCACCAGTCCATCGCAGGTCTACACAGAGACACACAAGGACCAACAACCACCCACACTCACATTTACTCCTACGGGCAATTTGGAATGTCCAATCAACCTAACATGCAGGTTTTTGGACGGTGGGAGGAAGCCGGAGAAGCCGGAGAGAACCCACGCAGACCATGGAGAACCTGCAAACTCGACACAGAAAGGTCCTGGTTCCCCCGGGGAATCCAACCCAGAACCCTCTGGCAGAAAGGTCCTGGTTACCTGGGACTCCAACCCAGAACCCTCTGGCAGAAAGGTCCTGGTGCCCCGGGAACTCTAACCCAGAACCCTCAACCCAGAAAGGTCCTGGTTCCCTGGGACTCCAACCCAGAAAACCTCTGGCAGAAAGGTCCTGGTCCCCTGGGACTCCAACCCAGAACCTTCTTGCTCTGAGGCGACGGTACCCACCACACCACCGTGCCGCCCCCCAACGCAAAGTCCTCCAAGAAATGTTCTCACGGCCTAGTCACGTGAACAGGGCGCCACGTTCAAAGGAGATCACTCACCTCCGCAGAGCTCCCCGCGGAAGCGGACGCAGGAGTAATTGTCGCACTCGCAGTAGGGCCCGTAGATCCGGCCGAAGCTGGACGCGTGACACACGCACTGGCCGCAGTAACAGTGACCCTGGCCGTTGCAGATCTGGGAGTCGTTGGTGGCCAGGCAGCCGCTCAATAGGGCGTTCTCCTCGTTGCATTCGCACCGGGCTCCCAGGAACCCCGGCTGGCACACGCACACGCCGCACCGGAAGCTGCCCTGGCCCTCGCTGCACCGGCTGCCATTTCCCGGAGGAGGCGGCCGGCAGTCGCACGAGCAGAGGAAGTCCAGCTCCACCTCCAAGACGTCCTGCAGGCCCACAGGTTTGAGGGAGAAGTGTCGCACTCCTGACAGGCATCCCGGGAGGCCCACGGTCACGTTAAACACCACCTGCGGGGCAAAGACGAGCTTTCAGGAAACCCAGGGCAAAAAAAACTAACGCTGACCCCTGTAAGTTCTTAGGATCTTATTTCTGTTCATGAAGTAGTTACTGATCCCTCTTTGCTCTATTTTAGAAATGTAATATTCAGTCATCACAAAGTCTAAACCCCAATGTTTTAAACACAGCTATAATGTTCTCTTTTTGCTGTTCTTATGACTAGTTTTTTGTAAAAACCATTGTTGCATCCTGATGTTTTCAAAGTTTCCAGCTGTCTGAAAACAGTCAACATTCTAGATGTGACCCGGTTCCAAGAGAATAAACCACCTTGCGAAATCACCGATTTAGTTTTTTTGCTTTTACTCATATTTTGTAGGCAGTTAGGAAAATGTTCTGTTTTATGTTTTTATCTTTGAACTCACAGAAGCAATCCACCTCCACCAAACACCAACCTACGGCAGAAACAAATAACCGTTTCCATAACTGAAAATGGCCTTCTTAGTCTCTTTAATGATACCCTGATGAAAACTACTGAAGTTCAAAGACTTTAGCTTATCCCACTTCTGACAGAGGATATTCTTATATGGCTGTAACGGGCCTTTATTTTTTACTATCAGACGGCAGACAGTCTGTTCAATCACAAGAAGAAAAATGTCTTCTTTATTTCGTTTTCATGTCTTTTTTTTCTGTTATCTATAAGGGGGAAAACGCCACAGGTCAGTAATCTTTTTTTTCCACGCAAACATTTTTAAAATTGGTAATGTTTGATGTGAATATGAAAAGGATTTAGAACATAATAGTTACAATTCTAACACAAATAGGATATTTAAAGTACACATATATAGCCTTTACCTGTCTGTCCTTTCACTGTTACCATCACTTTACAATTTAAACAATAAGTGGCAGATGAATTCGGACTATTGAACAAAACTAAATTACATCATAAATCGCTATTTTTAGCATCCTCAGAATTTAGCTGGAGTGACTGTTTTCTATGGTCTAGTTGATTCACTGATCAGCACATGTTAGAGGTTATGACCGATTAGCATTAGTCAGGCCTTTCCTCTCTTACAAATGTGAGAATAAAAGTCTTTATTGTCTGAATCAGGGTCCTTGCGGTCAACGTTTTGCTTGATCTGGTGGGACAGCTTTTAGTGTCTATGTCTTGAGGCTTTCGAGCAGCTTACTATGAGTGCAAAAACCTGACTTTATTTTTATTTCATTCATAAATTTCACAAATTCTAACTCTAATCTTCCTCATCTGGTTTTGTTTATGGTCTCTAGGCAGTTCCACTCTCATTCTGCTCTACTCTCTCATTAGTTTGTGAGTCACCTCTCCTATCTGAACCGGCCTGTGTAAAAGACATACTAAAAATACAGCGAAACAGGCAGAGTGAAACAGGAGCAGCCTACCGTCTCTCCTGGTTTGATGTTGGAGCAGTGTTTTAGATCAGGAAACACAGTTCCGTTTGGGCAAATAGTTGTGAAGGACATCTGCAGATCCTCTGTGTCCCCGAGCGCCTCCAGCTCGATCTCTGAGCGCAGCTCCTGGAAAAAAGGGTCAAGTTCTGCATATTACAAAAGGCAGTATGGAAGAACAGCAGGTCATGAATAAAAAAAAAGCTTTTCTGTGCAAAACAGACAGACGATGATGTTGTGAGCTTCCAGAGCTTTAATTACACTTCAACCCTCCAGTGACCTGTGATGTGCCCACGGTTTGAAATCTCCTGCCTCGTCCTGTGCTTTTTATGAGTCATCGTCCCAGGTGTGCTCGGCTAAACAAAAGCACCAAGGAAAAGCATGACAGCTAAAGGAATGACTCTGCAGGAATGACGAATGAACCCCTGTGTCATTCTGTCTGGGCTCCATTCCCATAGGTGAAGCAGAGGAGGTGAAAAACGCAACATCCATAGGACCCACCCAAGTCAGTCGAACAGATTCAACACTGAAACACTGCTGTTCAAATGTATTTATAGAAGGGAAGGCTCAGATATCTACCCAATCGGCAACAATAACCGCAACAAAGGCGAGCATAACTACTATTGAAATCTGTTCGCTATTGTGGAGTATTCAGCTGTTGGTACTCTTGTTTCCTGTAAACACCACAGTCAGCATGATAACAGGGGCTCCTCGCTTGGTGCAGTTAACCAAGGTGTGAATGACGTAGCTCGGGACGTAATTAGAGGACGGCACACCACCGCCATTGGTCGTTGCCAGGGGGGATTTCAAAAAAAAAAAAGAAAGAAAAGAAAAGAAAAAAAAACACGCTGCATGCACCAGAGAGAGGGGGATGAACGGGGAAGAAAGAGCAAGTCGGAGAAAGAGAGAAGGGCGAGGAGAGATCAAACAGCCCGGGCAGGCAGAAACTTGCCGTCGAACATGCTGGCGCAAAACACCGTGGCGGATGGATGGATGTGAGAGAGCAAAGGCTGACAGAGTGAAGCAAGCACTGGCTTTTTTTTTTGTCTGCCACATACAAACGATCAGATGCAGACCCGTGCATGTGGGCCCCCCCCCGGTTTCAACAGTCCAAAGAATAATCTGCTCCCAATAGCGGCCGCAGCTCCGATCGTTTTTTATCTGCATCGCCAAGAATGTCATATTTACTTTATACGCTGTTACGATCAGCTCCAGGATGTTCCTCGAATCGGTCGCCAGGATTCCAACGGTGGCGCCAGGTATGAGGTTTGCATAGTTCTACCGTGAAAAAACAAAACAGATATACAGTAATCATGTCGCTGCAAATGTGGGTATAGCCTGGACTCCCAGTCCCAAAGGCAAACCAACCACAGACGTGGTAACGGTGATGGAAAACCGGGCCAGTTCTAACAGGCTGGATAAGAATGCAGCTCGGTATATTAACATATGACCCTCAGTCACTGTTGCGCTGGAGTAAACACTTGCACTTTTTCAGCGTGAACCTACTCGGTTTGAGAGAATGACTAACTTTCCAAGGAAGTCGCCTTTACCTTGTAGGTGTTTATCTGCTTTTCCGTCACAGCGAATATCAGCAGGATGTTGTTCTCGACCACTTTATCGATCAGCTGGCTCAGTGTTGGATATTCCTGAAAAGAGAAAAAGGGGGGGAAATCTTTAATATTGGCATTGTGCTGTAAGACTAATAGTTAATTACAGCTGAGGTTGTTATAGATTTCAATGAAGAAAATACAGATTATTGGTTGGAAAAAAAGATCAATCGCAGCCCTTTCAGAACAGGTTTTGCCTGAGAATCTACACGTTTAGCTACATTAGGACCAACTTTGGATATTGAAAAGGGATAAACAGTTCTGCAAAATAAACATGTGGATAAGTTTGGACTCGTACTGGGGCAAAAAATGTGATTTTTTGTGAAAAGACATGAAGAGATGACCAATAACGATCCAATTAAACTTGTTTGTCATTAGTTCTGGTGGATTTTTTTTAAAAACAATCACTTAAAAGCTGCATTGGTTTGGCGGAGGATGCACGTGCTGTGTACTTCCTCATCTCACGCGGTGGTTTTTAATCCTTAATGTTTGGATTCGTCTTGACTCCCGGGGATTAAAGTTCACCTGCTCTGTGGACATGAAGTATTCGTTGTTGGCATCCAGGTGACACTTCCCATCATTGGGAATCACGATGCCCGCCATCTTACTGTCCATCCCAAAGTGTGAGTCAGCATCACTGACAAACACCAGCAGACGCATTGAATCATTCCTCCATCCGATCCTGTCCTGTTAAAAAAAACAAAAACAAACGTACCGATTCGGCGTCAAAACTTTCTGATTTTGAGGCTTGATTTTTCCTGGGAAAAAAAACCCAACCCTTACCCCGCACACTGCGGCCTGCAGGACGGCATCGAAGCCGCACTCGGGTTCGTCCAGGTTGGCGGACACGCGCTGGCTGGCGATGATCTCGTTGAACCTGTCGGTTCTGCTGGTCAGAGACAGGACGTGTTTGTAGCCAAACGTTGGCTGGCAGGTTGAGCGCACATCACTGTGGCAGAGGGGGGGAACAGCAAAAGACACAAAGCAGGGGGGGGGGGAGAAAAATAAGGAACCGCGCCGACACGGAATACAATGTGACATTGTTCACCCTGAACTGTGTACCTGCATGGGTTGCTCAGCATGTCCTTTGTGATCTTTATGAAGGGAAGCACAGGCTTCTCCACAAACGAGCCGAATCCCATTCGAAATTTACTCGTGAGGCTGGCCATCTCTTTAGAGAGAGAGGAGCCCAAGTCCCTGATTGTCTCCAGGTCGTCGATCATGGACGCCGACAGGTCCATCAAGTAGTAGATGTCCACGGGATAGTCTTCCGTGTGCTGAACTTTGACCTGGAAAGTCACCTCACTGCCTGTGCAATAACAAAGGCAAGCCCGTATTTATGCGGCACGAGGAACCCGCTCTGGGGGAAGACTCATGGATTGGGAATACTGCGCGAGTCATACCAGGCCGCAGCTTGAGGGCCATTCTTTGCGGGGAGATCTGAGTGCTGTTGGGGTTGCTCGTCTTCTTCCCGAGAGGGAGATCCTGGAGGATTTGCACTCTGGAAACGGGGAACTCGACGCGGTCCGCGGAGCATCCTTTCTCTAACAGGCCGTCCAGCGTGTCGCACCTCTCAGAGACCGAGAGCCAGTCTGTGAAATTCTAGGACAAGGAAGGAAAAATGGGTCCCCGAAATTTGGTCATTTGGAAACCGGAAAAGGTTGAAATGCCTTACCTCCTGAGTGCACCAGGCACAGAGAGGACTGAGCTGCAGACACTCATCACAGCTCACAGCGCTGCCAGCCGAACAGGATCCTGCAGCACACAAAAACACACAGACCTGATAACACCTACCACGATCCCCCCCCATCCCCAAGGTGGATTCCAACTTTTTTTTTTTTTTTTAAGTGCGTAAAGCGTCTGGCCCTTTGAGAAGATGTTACTCATTGTGGGCCTGTAACAAACGGGTCTCAGCCACTTACCCTCCACGGTGTTGATCCAGTACCGGAGAATCAGGCTCAGCAGTAGAAGCCCCATTGGTCCGTGAGGTTACTGATTGAGAGGAAACAGAGAAAAGAATGTCGCGAACTCGTCTCACGGGCTATTTACAAGGAGTGAAACATATCCGATCTCAAGCCTCTTCGGCACAGCGCGGCCGTCCCGTCACCTGGATGGAGGAGGAGGAGGAGGAGGAGGAGGAGGAGGAGGTGGAGGAGGAGGAAGAGGAGGCGGGGAGCGGCGCTCACCTGCGCGCTGCCTTTTACGCGCACTTCCGTCCAGGTGAGAGAGAGAGAGAGAGAGAGCGCGAGACGAGGAGGGCGAGACGTGAAAAGCCCCAGCCATTTGGACTGACCAAAACCATTCATTTTCACTTTTTATTGTTCATAAATTCATCCTTTGACTGAGGCCACTGCTCAGTTCTATAGGAAATACGCGTGGCCTCAAGCCAAAAACTAAACAAAAACAAAGAGGAAGTGGAATTCGCTCTAAATATGCAATGATATCAAGGTAGTTTCTGTCACGAGGGAATGTTTAGCTTGTTCTTTACCATTACCTGTCAACTTCTACATCAATATTTCACTTGATAAACCAGTCAGATGCTGATAAAGTTTATAAAAAAGCGTAAATGCTGCTCTCAGTATACAGTCAGTGAGCAATTATCTGAGATCTTTCTGATAAATGTGTACTTTTCCTTTCAGATTTTATATTTTCACTTTGGTAGCAATCTGAATTTACCATGTGTTGTTTTAATAGTGTGGTGACATTAATCTAAAAGTGCATCATTTACCATGATGATTCGATTTTACAACAGAAACCAAGAAGCCCGAAATCAAGCAAAAGCTGACTGAAAACTGACTGAAACCCTAAGCAGGTTCAACAGAAAATCACAACCATGATAACAATCTCTATGTTTATTTCTCCTTCCAGTTGGAAGTTGTGTCACACAGCAGCTCATTGCATGAGGCAACTTGCATGTCTAGCTTTAAAAGGTACAATAGAATTAAAGCTCACTTACCTAACGTTCATATGTGGGGTTTCTGTGCCAATAATATTTTTTTGGCCCTTTACATATTGACGTTCAAGTCTTTTTGTCGAGCTGAACTCTAATACAATCATTTACTCCTTGAACTTCCTGAAAAATGCTCATAAAGACAGCCTAGCCTTTGGCAAATACAGCAGCCGTGGACCTTTTACAGACACCTTAACAGAAAATGTGTCAATATTTAACTCAGGACCATGAGTCATCCTCATCGTCTCTGAGGAGTTTTTCAGCTTGACGATTAGCGCAAGACAAAAACAACCCTTTTAGGTCAATCAGAAGATAGGAAATATGGCTGTAAGCGTGTGCACATGTGTGAGTGTAACTCCAGGGGTCAGAGGGTGTGGAGCTGCGTAGGTGTTGCACCACTGACAGCTGCAGTGCAAATATCCCTGCTTGTCCCAACTCAGAGGAGTCTCACACTTTCGCGCCACGCCCCTTCGAGTCTGGGTAAGTCCCATCTGTCACCCCAAACCAAACCCCCTTTTTCTCCAGTCCTCTCAGCTCCTCCCCGCTCAGCTCCTTGTGCTCCGGCTCTCAGAGGACCTCTTGATGTGTGTAGCTGCCACTTCGTTCATGCCTCCTTGGCTTTGATTTGCCTTTTTGATCTACCTCTGATGTGCTTTGCTCCCTTCTGAATTTCAGAATTTTCTCAAAATATTCAAACATCATCTGCTATTTCAGCAACACGATGCAATGTTGCACCATTTTTTTTTTGCAGCGCATCATTAGTTAAATGGATAACATACCTACAATGCTATAAAGGTGATATGATTCTCCCCTTACTCTCACGTTTCAGCTTGACTACCCTTCACAGTTGGCTTTCCTTAAGAGGAATTGGCACATATCGGAAAATGTTGCTTTAAGTTAATCATGACATTCATTTTTAAGATAGGAAAAGTGAATTGGAGTAAAAACTAAAACTGGAGCATAACTCTGTCTGGTCTCTGTCAGCGCTTTAGGAGCAGACTCACCTTCAGGGCTGGCCTCTGATAACATGCTGTCCGGTCTCAGTCGTTCCTTCTTGTCACCGAGTGAAAAATGGAAAGCATCGGAGAAGCATCGGGCCAGAACACATTCGCTCCTATTGTGTCCCTGCTCTGGTCAGAGTAACAGTAAACCTATTGTAACGGCAACCCTTTATGAAGCATGGCGCTGGGGGTGACCCTGCCGCCCATGCTCCTTGGCTCATGTGTCCTTTTTGTGTGTTTGTGTGTGTGTGTGCGCTTCTCTCAAAGCGGGCGATTGGGTGTGCACGAATGTATGCGGGGGTCATGTGTGTGTGTGTGTGTGTGGAGGGGAGGCTGTGGGGACTGAGTGACAGCAGCAACTGCTGGCTGAGGGACCTCCAGAGGAGGCCAACTTCTTTATTAAGAGACCTTTGCTGATATGCCTATGTTGCACTCTAGAGGCTGCACCCCTCCACTCCCCCGGTGGAGCATAAAAAGCCAGGACTTTGCTTTGTGATAAGTCCGGACACCTGTGTGCGTGTCTGTGTGCTCGTGTTTGCTCGAGTTCGATTACTTCCTGCCGAGAAGAGAAGCTGGAGGCTGACCGAAGGTGCGCCAGCCTCCTTCGTGCGGCGGTATGGCAGGAATGCAGGTGTGCACACACACACTCGCGAGTAAATGGAAGGAAATACTAAAGCGCAGGGCCACTTTATGAAAAAAAATCCATAAAGCCAGATAGAATAGCAGCGTTAGCCCCAAAGACTATTTGATGAGCTTCAACATGCAGCTCTCTTTTATGAGACTCTCTGTTCAAATATAAACAAGAGTCTACAGGTCCCGTTTAATTGAACGTTCAGGGCTGCACGTAAACAGGCTCGTTCTGCTGACGTTAAGAATGGATTTAGAAGGTGCAAACGGTTTTTTAAGCAGCCCTGAAATCACAGTGGAAGCATATTGAAAACAATGCAAGTCACCATCTGGGAACAAGTGCACCAAAAGTCTCTGCAAACTGCAGGATAGTTGTTCAGATGTTTAACTTAAAGCCGAGAACATCTGTACAGTGTGTTGGTGCAGATGTGTGTTGGATCTAACACATAAACCAAAAGTCACTTGAGAATATATCCTGAGCGAGAAAAAGAGTGTTTTATGCATACTAATGATATAATGATTATCCTCATATTGTGACCATAAAGTTTGCCAACTTATATAAAATGGAATACTCATCATTTTTATTATACTACATTTCCTTTAGATCAGTTGCAGACATTTAAACGGACTGTGATGACAGATGTTTATTGGAAGGGCTGAGGTCAGGGGAAAAGAGGACTGCAGAAAAAAGGATAAACAGAACAGAGACCACTCATGATTTGGTTTATTTGTTGGGGATGCTCCGACCGAGAGGCGGGGCATGAGGAACTTTGTTTAACATCAAAATAACAGGAACCTGGTGTGAGAAGTGAGGACTAATACTGGTTTATGCTTATTGAACAGTGGTTGGACCTTTACTGTGCTAATGATGAAGTTAAACTGTTTAATTCAAGTTTGCCTTTAGCTCTCAGACATCACTTGAAATTAAAGTATTCATATGAAAAATGAACCCTATACATATATGTTCTGGGGTGTATTGATGTTTTTTTAGCATTGGAACCAGCATGACAGTCTTCTGTGTGCTCTCTGGAACAGTTTAGAAGTGTTTAATCAGAAAAAGTTGCAACTGTATCTCCCAGTCTGAATTATATTAACACAAATTACTACATTTTTTTTCAAAGCCAATACACGAGGTCCTGATTGACAATTTGAAGAAACTGTTGCAATGAAATCTTTCAAATTCAGAGATTATCAGACGTAAACTTTTGCAAAAAGTGTCAAAGCAACATGAACCTGAATTCGCACTACCCCACCGAAAGAAATAAAGGAAGAGTTCCTCATCACTTATTTAAGGAAACAAAAGCTGGTCATACTGTAAAAATGCCCCGGTAATTATACTTATAAACAAATAACAAATAAGTAAAACTGCATGTTGTTACTGTTTTTCTTTTCAGTTTTATCATTGTTTTTCTTCATTAATTAGTCAATCAATTATTTTCAAACAAAAAATAATCCATTGTGAAATAGTGGGAAGTATTGTCAGGAATAACTGACTGAGTGATTTATTTTCCTCCGATATATTAGACTTTGAAATCTGTCTTTGGCTTGGAAGATGATTGAGGATGCTAACCTGGAATGTTTTTGTTTTTTTTACAGATTCTGTATTGCTTCAACAATTTGGCCTTTCAATAACTAATAGGCTATGACAAACGTGGAGCAACAGTATATCTCTTCGGCCTTTTGGTTTTCTCATTTTGCAGCATGTCTTGCGCACATGTGGAATTCTCTAATGCGGTTTCCAGCCGCCCGCCTCTCTGAACTGAATTGTTAAATCACACAAAATAAATGATATCGGATACTGAGGCTTATCCTCTTATCGTCTGTGGCCCTCCTCTGACCTGGGTCTTTTCTCCGGGGATCTGTGCCATGTGTCCCTTCAGCTGTGGAGAATTAAAAAAAAGAGACAGGAGGAGATTGGTTGACAGGGAAGAGAGTCTCTGCTTGGCTCGTGTCTTATGTTCAAAGGGTTCGATTCCCCTCACAATGGGGACCTGACTCACGCCTGTGTGTGCATAAGCTACTCGGGACATGTATGCGGGCTCCCCGGGCTGGAGCGGGTTGGGCGGTGGAGGTTTTGATCCTTTTGGCCGGTAGGAGATGTGGGGGGGCATGGTGCCTTGGTGTCTCCGGGATCAGCTGCGCTAAGTCCGAGCTTAAGAAAGAGATCCGGCGTAAGAGTGAAACTACAAAGGGCCGTGTGCCTGAAATAGAGCGGGAAATGGATAGGGCATGAGCACACACGCTGCACATGTTGCTCATCTGATCCGTCATAAGCCGCACGCATAACATCAGACGCTGTCCTGCCAAAAGATATCCATGACTGAACGCTGGTTCACCTACCAAAAGGCCGGGTGTTGAACTGAACTGGCTCGTGACGCCCTCTGCTGCCGGGGAATCAACACAGCCACCGGGTTTTCCTCTTAAATAAAGTCTCTTTTGCAGAGGGTTGGTCTCCTGTGAACCAGCCGTTTTTATTTTCATTCATTGGTTTTGTTTTGTTTTGCCTGCAGTGATCAGGTTCTATTAATTTTTATTAACACCTTTATTGAAGGTAAGGGGGCCTTGATAAGAGAGCTGGTGTGCCACTCATCCATAGCAGGGCCATGGATTTTATTTGTATTTTACGCTGTATACCGACTAATATGAGATATGCATAAATAATCTACAGTGTTTTTCACAATTTCTTATTACATTTTTAGGAGATCACCCGCACTAACATGTTATTGCCATTTTTATGGGAATCTATTTGCATTAGTACGCAAAAATTAGACCACGTATAAGACATTCATAAGACATTAAGGCATTTATTTTGTAAACGGGACGGTAAAACTGGGCAATGGCAGGAAAATGTTAATGCAAAGAAAGCAGCCAAAATAAAAAAGACAGGAACCTGATGTGAGAAAGAAGAGCATTTTTTTATTCAGCACTTTTTATTCCAATGTTTTCAAAGGAGAGAGCAAGGAAAGGATTGTTTGAGAATCAGAAGAAAGTGACAGGAGGTACAATTTTTCTCTTTCGTTTTTACATTTTTTTTTTTCAATCCAGCAACAAATAAAGCCTGGATGATTTTTTCTCTAAGGTCAGCATTCACTGCTTCGGTTGGACTGATCAGTGTGAAGCACCGCGAACAAACATCTTGTTTGACCATTTTTTCTTGTGTCGTAGTAGTGTTGTGGTCCTTTATCTGAATTCTTAAAAAAAAAAAAAGAGAAAAGGCCTAACCAAACCATAAAACTCACTCGCCTTTCACTCTTGGCTCTCGTTGAGAATAATCAACATGGAATACCTTTTTCTCATGTGATCTGAAAAACCTTCAAATTCCCATAAAGTATTGCTTTTTTTAAAGGTGTTCGAACATGAATGGTGCATGTTTTCTTTTTGTTTTGGATTTTTTGCACGTGTCAGATTTGAGGTACCAGAATTCCACTTTATTTCAAGAGTATTTCTGGAGGGCTTTACAGAGACGAGAGTGAGGAGGATCTGTCGAAGGCAGAACGATGGATGTCGCTTTGCATTAATTTGCAGATAGGAAACTAACTATTTTACAGAGAAGCTGTGTTGGAATTTTTCTAAAATGGAGCATCACAACTGACAGTTTCCAGAATGAGGAAAAAAACAAAAACAAAACACCAGAACGGAAAAGACGAATAAAGAAATGAAAGAAAAAAAACAACACAACAACAATAACAACAACAACAACAAAAGTATATGTCTTTTTCTTGTTGAAGACCAGGAGGAGAGACGCTGCATTTGAGAGACAAACGGCAGAAGTCCTGTCCAGCCAGCTCCTGAGCGTGGCTGCTGGTCTGCTTCGTCAGGTCTGGGGGGCCGGGGGGGGCTTTACCTGCAAACCCCCCGCAGCGCGAGCAGACTCCAGCAGAACCATGAGGTAGATTACTGGTCAAACCGACCACAAGAGAAAAAGCGAAACCCTCCGAAAAAGATGCCCACTGGGTGTAAAACTCCTGTGTGACTCCCGTGTCGAGTCAGATGGTGACGGTTGACTAAAAAAACAAATTCAAATCACAATAAAAATAATAATAATAAAAAAAGGAAATAGGAAAATAAGGAAACACTTTGCTCTGATTTTGTCACCCTTTGTTTTCTCAGTATTGCCGTGGAACTCTCATTGTCTTTATTGCTACCGGACGACTAGATAGCGAAACACTCGATGGGTTTTCTCCATGATTTCACGCACACGTTTGATCAATTGGGATTGAAGGATGGCAACTGATCACGCTCTATGAAGAATGTTGGAGAGAATGTCTGATGTTGTGTAAGGAAGGCACCGTATCCAATAGTAAATTCGTTAATTTCCTAATGAAATGGTCATCTGCGTCAGCTGTCGAGTGCAGTTGAACTTGAACAGATTCGATGAGCTATTCTGTGGCAACTCCGAAAAACCCCAAAATGAAGTTGTTCTAAAACTTCAAACGTCAGTGCAAACGAAGTCTGCAAAGTTTCTCATATACCACAAATAAAGGATCTATAAAACCATGGAAACCTCAAGGGGGGAAAATATCTCTATCTCATGCATTTTAATGTCACATCATACTGGGGTGTGGAGGGAGCGTGGCTGAGGTGGGAAAGGGCGGGGCGGGGGTGGGGGCCGGGGAGGGGGGGGGGGGCCCTTTGCCAATGTTTGGGAAACATTGAAAAAGAGAAAAAGAAAAGCATGTTTTTTTTTTCATATCAAAATAAATCTAGTTTTTCTTTTTCTTTGTGATTAACCAGCTGCTTGAGTCCTTTTGCACGTTTCAATTTTCACTACAAATGTTGGGTCTGTGCAAAAAAGAAAAAAGAAAAAGTTCGTTTATCTGGTCCGATCAGAGCAGGCGGCGGATAATATCCCTGTTTTTGTCATCAGCAACTTCCCACCTGCCTTCTGGCTCACAGAGCAGTAATGCAGCCTGAAAATACAGAGAGCAGAAGCACTTATAGGGGCTGGGGCTTTTACCCAGACTCTCAATAACCGGACTTATCAAAAGGCTTCCATTAGCTAAACACATTGAGTAATTTAGCTTTTTCCAAGAGGGCGGCTTTTATATCCTTGACAGGTTATGATTTTTCTCCTTCTATTTTCCAAAAGCCATTTATGCTCTCTTAGTTCAAATGTTCCTTTTTTGCAACTGTGCAACAAATCAGGGAAAAATGTTAAGAAGTAGAGTATAAATGATAAAGAGTCGTTCAATGACATTAAAGATCAGTACATAGTATGAGCATCTTTAATCTTCAACACAGTCTGAACCCTCTCACAAAAGCTTTCTTTGTTTTTGTATTTCTGTTTAAGGACACCCTGCACGCCACGCTGCTTTTCAGCCAGCAGCTCTTTGAGGATCGATTTATTTGTGCAGAAACAGAAACCGGTGTCCGAAGAGAGGCTTTGAAAGTTCTTCATAAAGCCCGAGAATGCTGTAACAGATTCAAAGAAAGCCGGGCTGCTTGGAAGCAACAGGTATAGAAAAGTTGGGTGGCTGAAGACTGCGTTTGTGCCTGAGCTCTAAACTAAAGAGTACCTGTGTGTTACTTGCTGAGTTGACTGTAAGGAGACGAGTTGTTGGAGGAATCCACTTGCTGCGGCGTGCCATTTTCCTGCCAAGCAAAAACAGCATCTTTCATTTAGAATCTGATAATAACCATCCTCTCTGGAGATAATTGACAGTTTTAGAGGAAATAACACTTAAAACACATGACGAGGCTTTATGAATGGAGGAGGTTTGGTTGGGATGGGCTGTTGTCTTTGGGAAATAATTGCTGCTTTTTTAAATGTATCAGTTAAATGGAGATCAGCTGGGAGGAGAATGAATTCTATTTGTTGGGAAAAAAAGATGAATTAATGATTAACTTACAGGGGCCGCCTGCATGGGAGGATACGGAGGCATGTAAGCTCCCTGGACACTGGGGTTGGCAGCAATATACTGCAAGAAAACAAAGGGAAAAAATGACCAAGAATCCAAACGATTCAAAGCCAGAATACATGAAGTCGAGCCTGGCGAGCAGACAAGCTTCTTAGCCTTATGGTTTTAGCACTGGGAAAGTTAAGATGCAGATATTGAGAAAATGACTGTAGACCTAGATCTGGCCGTATTGACTGTTTGGTGTTATTGTACCGAATTTTGAAAGTCTTTTATGAAATTACAGAAAACCTAAAATATGATATTGTCCAAAAGCTTGGATTCTTAGTAAAATTCTCCCTTACATTAGGCAGTTGATTTGAATCATATATTACTAATTTCGACCTGCTCTCCACTTTCATCGTGCATGAGGAACTATTTATAATCATATTAGATATCTAATGATCTTAGAAAAAGGTTTTTAGAATGAGAATCAATCCGGTTGGACATTTGGTTCATAGATGTGTGCAAAAAAAAACAAAGAATAAAGTTCTCCGGGGGATAAACTGTTCAACTGTCTTTATGGTCCTAAGAATATACCATTTAGTCTTCGCATAAATAGGCCGGTCACTTTAACTACGCTCATATCCGTGTGAATCACTTCACTCCACTCACAGCTCCGGAGTTTCCCAGCGCGAGTTGTCCCATCTGCTGAGTGATCATGGTGCTGGGGTGCAGTGACATGGAGGGATCCACAGAGGGAGACATCACAGCAGCCTGTAACACGAGACCGTCCAGGTTGTCACATGAGGAGAGTTTCACCAACTCAATCAGCTCTTTCCACAGAAACCCAAACAACACACTGGATATTAACAGACTTGGGACCAAAAAAAAATATCAGCAGAACCTGGATGTTATGAGCTCAGAGGAGGAGACTATGGCTGAGATTGAAAAAGAGAATTGTGTGTAAATTCAAACTTTGAAATAGGAGAGAACAATGTGTTTCTCTGTAAAAAATATTCAAAGTATTGAGATGAAAAAAAAAACATGTGCACTTTGTTCTCTTAATGTGCAATGTGCAACACTTGGCCAGCTCCCGTTCAGTTTCAGACGGTTTGTTTTCCTCCGAACATGAATGCCTGTTGGGAATGGACCATTTCCTAGCTAAAAAAGAGGGGGAGGGGGGAGCTCAGCAGAGACACTTGTTCCAGTGGAAACCATCTGTTGGAAGAGTCAAAGAGTCACAAGACTGTCTCTGCTTCAGGCATTTCCTGCTGGATCCACACCGAGGGAGGAGGCAGCGGCTGAATGTCTCTCTAGCCGTTCCATTTCTCGTTGATACACACCCCAAAAAAATCTCTCGCACACATTTCTAACGTGTTACTCAGAGCGGCCTTTTCTTTTTCTGGGCTCGGTGCTTCTTTGGCCGTGTGTTTGGGGAGGTTTGTTGCTGGGGCCGAGTGTGTGAGCGGAGCGGGCTGAATGAAATGTGGGCCGCGCCACACAGACATTTCCTGTGCTCAGAACAGGAGGCGGCGTATAGTGTTCCCTTACCGGGTGTTGCATGATGTATGGCTGGTGTGCCACCCAAGAATGACTCTGCACCTAATGCAAGACGAGACAGACAAGCGTGATAAGAGACAGAGGAACACAGAAAGCTGAATTTCAATTTGCTGGTTATAAATGGACAGCTGCAATCTGGACATTTTTGTACAGGGAGATGCAAAGATTTAGACACGATTTAGACACCTAAAAATGAGCAAAAGGAGATCCACCTCCATTAATGCATCCATCAATTTCGAAGCCACTAATCCAGCTCAAAGATCCTGGTCAGCCACGGTGGCCCAAAAATATCAAAAGCCTTCGGCTTTTTTAGTTCAAGTCTGATTCCCCCTTTGTCTCACTAAGGAGCTTTTGGACTTCTGCCCTCTGTCCTGGTGGTAACTCTGTGTGATCAGTCCCATATAATGTTCTTATGCTTCCCAATCCCATCATATGCCATCAACAATTTGGACAAAATCCCTGCAAAATGGGAGCTTGTACTGATTTTCTTTTCTTTTCTTCCCTTTACTAGACTTGATTCTAATTTTCAAAATGTGAATGGCCTGAAAAAATTACAATCCACCGTCGAATGGAGCGACGGGAGTGTGGAGACGTTTTGTAGCCTACTCTCACATCTTTAACACTTGATACATGATAATAAGAATACATCTTTACCCGCAGATTCTCTCAGTAACTGCGAGTGCAAAATGGTTAAAAGCGAAGCGGCAACAGGGATGATTTGTGTTCACTGCTGGGTGTGTTTATCTGCAGCCGTTAGTGGGATTCTGCAGTACCTGGTAAGCAGAGACCGGGGACATGTAGGGAGACATCGTCGGCTGCACGGTCATTATCCTGTTGGTCACTGGATACGGTGAAGGATAATACCTGAGGAACAGATAGCATTACAACCCGGAGCCCAAGAATTATGGGGGTAGAAAAAGGGGGTAAGTGAAGTCATTAACCGCTATAAAAGGCGTTTAAATGTGAATGAGGTACCAGCAATGTAGACTTCCACTATTAGTTTTTCGTGTCTTAGAAGTAGATTAAACAAACGAGACACGAGTTCCTACTTGGTTGTTGTTTAATTGAGGAGCTTATCAAGTTGTACATTAATGGGAGTGGCAGAAGGAAAACTCTGATAAACAATACTGTGAGGCTTTGCCCTTTCCCTCTCTGGGGTTTGGGACTCCAGGTGTTCATATTGACTTCATATTAAAGCCCCATTATTATCACTCAATGGAGGGAACTCCCGGAGCAGAAGGCAAAAGGCAAAAATACTTTAAGCATAAATATATTTAACACTGTATCACGTGGTACTATAAATAAAAGGCTTCATCTTCAATTGCACAACTGTGTTCTCCTTAAGTATTTTTTGGGACATGTTTGAATCATTTGGTCTGAGTGGGGTGGGAAAAGGAGCTTTTAAAAACTTTCAAACTCTATACACTCACCCGTTCTGTATGGCTGCTGAAGAAGGGTCGTAGGTCAGAGTCATTGCACCCTAAAGTGTTAAAAAATAACAAAAACAAAAGATGATTGCAAGTGTATGTCTCACCACAGAATTACAAATGACAAAAACATTAGACTCGTCAATTTTATTTGGTAAATGTAGGAATAATCTTAGTCCGATTAGTGTCACTTTTTGCTTTCATTTCCTTTCGCACCGACTGCCTTAATCACAGCCAGACATAATCTGGTGTGCAGATGGGAGCAGCTCTGATGTGCTTTTGACTCACAAACTTGGAATGCAGGACAATTAAGTTAGAATGAATGGCTGATTTATCTCATTTCACAGTAAATGTTTTTCTGAGGAAATTCGGTCCTTGAAAACAGATCCTCGAAGTTTAACGGTTTTCCTGTCTAGTTACGGCCTTTTTCGCCCCTTTATGCGGAGTTTATGTGGTTATGTCAAAGGGGCCGGCGTGTACTTACTAGTCTGAGATCTGTTGTTTGTCCGTTGGGAACATATCCGCTGTGGGCGTGTTTCTTCCTCTGACTGTCTGCGAACTTACACAGCAAGGGCTGAGATGGGGCTGGGGGCAAAGCACAAGAAGAACGAGCAGTCAGCAGTTAATCATCGTCGCCTCCACAGCTTCCACCGGAAGAAAAGTGAAACTCTCTCTTAGCCAGACCTCCAGAAGCTAACTTTATGAACTTTCCATTGAAGTGGGAGATGACTGCGTTGCACTGCTCCGTCGTGTCCATCCTGACAAGGAAGAAGATGATGCCATCATCAATAAACGACACAGGGACAATCCACAGTCAAGTTTTTCTTCAGCAGACAGTGGTATTACAAGGCACAACCGGAGGACCCTTTCCCGTATAAAAACCAAGAGCGGTGACGCGCTCTGAGCTGGCTGGAACAGGAGCCAGTGACCTGGAACTAAGGTTTGTTTTGCCGTCTTTTAAAAGTCCATCCATCCATTTTCTGAACCGCTTATTCCCAAATGGGGTCACGGGGGTCCCGGTATTCAATGGGCGAGAGGCGGGGTACACCCTGGACGGTCCACCAGTCCATCGCAGGGCCACACAGAGACACACACAAGGACCAACCACTCACACTCACTCCTAAGGGCAATTTGGCATGTCCAGTCAACCTAACATGCAGGTTTTGGGATGGTGGGAGGAAGCCAGAGAACCCAGAAAGAACCCGTGGAGACCATGGAGAACATGCAAACTCCACACAGAACGGTCCTGGTTCCCCTGGGGACTCAAACCAAGAACCCTCTTGCTGTGAGGCGATGTTGCTAACAACCACATAACCATAATGCTGCATTCTTTTAAAAGTCAACTTGGTAAACTGGTGTGCAACATAAAGTAAGGCTGAAAAATCGACTAGACTATCGAAGAAAAAAGATGAAAAAAAAGACAGTATGGTGCAAAAGTTTTGAGCCATTCCTTATTGTACAATATGCGTTACACAAAAACTGCAAGTGGCTGGAGCCGTTCATCATAAATGGAGGTACAGAATATGAGGCAAAACATTAGTTTTAAGTTTGGGGATTTTGAAGGTCAATATTAGCCATGGGCACTTTTGATCCCTGTTAGGCAAATGTTAATAAAGTTTCTCTCAGTAGTTTTCTGGAACATTTCTCCAGAGTTCTTGAAGAATACTGGCTGTTATTTGTTCCATTTTCCATCAAGATGATCCCCAGCTTGCTTCAATAATTTTGAGCTCTGGACTCTGGGGAAGATTCATCACTCTCCAAGACATGGTGCAACGTACTTTCAGTCCAGTTCTTGTGTAATTTGGCATTTATCAACTCTTCCTCCCTGTTTACCTTTAGACAAACTGGCTTCTTGACAACTAGTTAGGAGAAATGCCATGGATATGGCTCTTTGGGAATTACCTCACAGATGCAGACATACAGACATTCTCCATGGAACAAAAACACTTTTCCTTTTGCACTGAATTTGACTAAAGCACTAAAAAGAAATGATGTCTGTGTTATGGGCTCCCTTAACTAACTAGAAAAATAGATTATTTGCTAAGTTATTTTTTATCTGATGCCTTTTTTCTTATGCTCGACTCGTTCATAGATTAGTGCTAAGTGTGACCTAACGCCAACAAAAAAAAAAAGAGACAAAAACAAAAAGTCCTCTGAAAATGGCCAGAAACAGTGACTCAACAGAAAATGAGAGGGAAAAGCAACCAATGTCCAAAGAGAAACTTTAAAAGACTTTCAGAAAGCTTGCAGAGCGGCGGCCCGAAAGCAAAACATTAAGGAATGACTGGTGGCTCAAGACCTCTGCACAATACTGTAAGTCAACATAAACACAGAATACTTTACTTCTGTGTTCTGGTCCAATTTTCTTTAACAACCTTTCTGCAGGGACTGTTATCCCAGAACCAATTACAGTCCAAAAAACAACAGGACTGGAAAGCCCAGTTTAATAAGTATGAGAGGGCTTTGAATGTCAGAAATCCTCCATCTGCCACAGTGTTTATTGTGTAACGTTAAATTAAAAACATACCATAAACCAGCAGAATAAGTTGCCGATTTGGATTAAAAAAGGGGCGCTGTTCAGCACGAGGTAAGTTTACAGGAAGTCGTGAGTTGCTTTAGGCGTGTTCCACAACTACTGCAACAGCTGAAGATGACTGAGTGTGCGTTTTGCTCTCCTGAGACGAACCTGGCAAAGCCCACGCCTCGGCTGTTGCCGCTGTAGTCCCGGAGGATGCGGGTGGAGACCACCTGACCGAAGGGTTGCAGCATCTTTTCCAGCTCCTTCTCATCCACAGAAAGAGGCAGGTTGGAAATGTACAGATTGGTGGGGTCCTGCTCCTGTTGCTGCTCTCGGAGGAGAAAATGGAAAAGAAGAAGCGTATTGGGTGAGGGAGTGTTTTCTAATTGGCAAAATGAAAAAGGAAATAAAATAAGAACAGAAAAAAGGCAGTTATGTGTGTGACATATATCTGTCTGACAAGCTCTCCCTCACACATACACACTCACGCACACACACACACACTTTATCTGCACCGTGCAGCATCCCAGCGCCTCTACGGCCTCGTCTAGAAACGGCAGGAGAGCGGCGTCGCCATGGCTACCGCGCCACACAAACTGCGCTGTTGCCTGTTTGTTTCCACGCAGGTCTCCGGAGAGCGACCCGTCGTCAGTGGCCGCGCACGCACGGGTGTGAGCTGCGCCACAGAGCTGGGCCGCAGGTACACCTGAGCGGGTCTGATAACGGAGAGCATCTGAGAGGAATCCCAGGTGTCGGGCAGAAAAACGCGTCCGGGCCCTTTCGGTTTTTCCTCAGGAGGCCGAGAAAACCCTGTAGCCCTGTTTTTAGAGCGCACGGCGGCTCAGAGAGTCTGCCATAACCATGGTGCCACCCAGCCGGTTGGGGGGGGGGTTAGCGGATGAGGGGGTGGGTTTGTGCGTGGCCTCACGGTGACTGACGGGTTGTCTGGCAGGAAGAGGGGTGACATCTGGTTTCTTTAGTGAAAGTAAATGAGGTCACGGGAGGAACAGCTTGACAGCTGAGGACATGTGACCGGTCTAATGCCGCCCTCCAACACACACCGGGCGCAGGCATGCGTGCGGTGAACAAAAAAAAAAAAAAGCATGTGTCCGAGGAGATGTTCACAAGCATGACGAACAGCACGCGCGCACACACACACACACACACACATCAACACGCCAGTGCCCGTAACAAACTCACCTTGGCCATCTGGGCCTGTATGCCGCTGGTTTTCAGAGCGTGCACGGCCTTTAAAGCAGCTGCCGGGCTGTCGAAGTCCACAAAGCCGTAACCTGCCGTTTGCAGAGCAACATTCATATCAGCAGCCGTTAAATCAGAGGAAGTAACACCTGTCAAAGCATGTGCACTGTCACCAAGAAACAAATTGTCCTGGACGTTAGCGGGTTCCCTGCCACTCGTGATATCAGGGTATTCAATCATTATTTCAATATGTTATGCAGTATTTTCCCTTTTTTTTCCCGCAATAGTTTGATGAAGAGGTGCCATACTCCCGCCACATTTAAAAATGACTTTTCTATGTTGTTCATTAGCATAAGTGAAGGGTGTGGTCTTTTTGTTTTCCAGTAATCCAGCCAAATACTTTTTTTTGTTGCGTTTACTTTCATAAGAAGTGCAAAAAATCTGTTTTTGGAGGCTCTAGACCTGCCTGCCTTGGGTAATCCATCATAATCTGCTTTTGTTTTTCTCAATCTTCTGCTACTATGGCTTTAAAATGCAGTAAAGATTTTGAAAATCAATCTGCCGCAAAAGCGGTGCAACAAAAGTTCGACAAAACTAGACGAAAGCAAAATAACTGGTCAAAATGATGGATTATGAACCCAGGCAGCTGCCACATCGACACAGATTGATTTTCATACACCAAGGACATTTGTTAAAAACTTAAATCTGCATGACAGGTATAAAAATTCAACACTGTATATTATAGAAGGATCATCTAGAATCACAGGATTACTTGAATAAGCCAAGAGAAAAACACATCATGTATTTCTACATGTGTAATTCAAATCTAAATTCTAATTATGTCCATTGTTACTGTATAAACTCTTAAAAAAAACTGACATCTGTGCATTAATGAGCTTACTGACCTTTACACTTGTTGGTTGTCTTGTCCAGGATTGCCTTTGCAGACTGAATCTTTCCATACCTGGGAGTAAGACAAAATGAGCGTGACAGGAATTTACTGAAAATAGGAAAGACTGTTGGTAATATCAGTCAACTGTCTCTTTATCCACTTCAAGGGTAATACGTGCAGCGAAGACCGTCGATCATCATAACCGTGAGGCGAAAACAAAAAAAAAGCACCTCCATCTCAAAAGAAGGATTCATGAATAGGCCTGTTTATGTTCATGGAGGCTATCGGATGCAGAGGTGCACGCCTGCATCTTTCCCGCATGCTGCAAATAACAGGAATACGTTTGAAATACGTTACTCTAATTCATCGGCGACTACGCGCTCACGTTGAATTGTGACACAAACTGTAAGCTGTTCTCGGGACATGCAGGCCACAGAGACAGAAAGCCTAGCTTACATCACCATTCAGTCCTCGCTGGCTATGAAAAGCGCTTTCATTTCTGCTTTGTGCTGGCAAACACCAGCGGGAACATGAACAAAAACACAGGCAAACAGGACACAAACAGCTGCTGCTGCTGCTGGTTACATGGGTGAATGCCTCCTCTCCCAATATGCTTCTCACTTAGAGGCCCCAAAAAAAAAAGAGAGAAACAAAATACGACTAATTGTGAGACCCACCGCACAAACCACTTAGACCTGAGCCTGCAGTTTCAGCTTGTATGAAACATTGGACCGCAATACACGTCTGCTTTTGGTCTTTCAAGAAGACAGTCATTTTCCATTTTACAGCCCACTAACGCATACCAAAGTCTAGCTATTGTTTTTTTTCATCTCGGTTTGTTGACAGAGGGTTGTGAGCATTTTGTGAGCGAGTGCACCAGGTGGTTTTTCGACCGCTGTGCATTTTTGGAATCCCGACAATCAGGTTTTTGTCCTAAAAGAGCTACAATCGGGTTTGACGTGAGCTAACCTCAGCTAAGCACCCAGGTTAGCCTGGCTTAGCTTAGCACAGAGGCTGAAAACAAGGGGAAACTAGCAAACCAAAGGTTAACTGAATAAATTTCATGTTACAAAAAAAAAACATTAAAAAAATTGTATTCATAAAGAACTGGAACTGTGACATTTTCAACTGGTTTGTTGATGTAAATATTTGCCTGTGCTTTCCTCTTTTGAAGCTAAAGGGGTTTAGAGTGGAGTTGCTGTATTATATTTGACTATATTTGCCACTTGTTTTTCTTCTGACTCAATTGTGAAAACATTTTTTTCAAAAGGACAACTAACACAAAGGTGGATACATTAATAGTAATTAAGAGGTTCATGCAATAGGATCGCTGGGGTTGGAAATACAGCGTGTGGTTGAATACCACTAAAAATGTTCCTTTGTGCACAATGCTAACACATAATGGGAAAATAGCTGGAGCTCAACCATGAGGAGCACCTGTGTCCCAGTTTGATACTGGGAATGGAATACTGGGGAATATACTAAAAAGGAAGAGTCTGGGTATGCCAGCAACAAAAACTGGAACTACAGCTTAAATTGTTGAAGCATGAAATGGTGGAGCTGCGTGTTCTTCTACTACCTGTGACAGTTTGGGTTTGCTTGGCATGTCTTCGCTTTGGAAATCAGACACGGAACTGCTTTACGGAAAGCTGAAGCCATTCCATCCATCCATCTGGAGTTCATGCAGACCCTCAGTGCTCATGTTGTGCGAGCGGACTGAACAATGCATGTCCTCATATCATATTTCATGAATGCTTTGCATACCTATGAGAGCATCCTACGATCTTTAGATCTGCATTGCCAACAAGGAACCAGACAAAGGTCCGATGAGTCTCGTTAAGAATGTGGACTAAATAAACCCTACTTTCCATTGATGTGTAATAGATATTTTATAGCAGTTTTTGTATGGTTTTTTTTTCAGATTTCTTGCCCACCATGTGATAACCCAGCTGCGTGTGTTTGTGTACTCACTGGTGACAGAGTTTAACCAGATCCAGGTCTGTGGTGGCGGGGGGCAGGCCGCGGATGTAGAGGTTGGTTTTGCTGAGCTGCTCCAGGCCCGTGCTGCTGCTGTTGCTGCTGCTGCTGGGACTGGACGGAGTCATGGGGTAGGACTGCACACAGGAAAGCCACTGTTAGCGGGTCTACGGGAACCCCGGATAATCGAATTCTAGCCCAGGTCAACAGCAACGGCGCGGACATCTCGTCCTCGTGGAGCTCAGACGGGGAATAACCCGACCTCCCCGTCACCTCCTGCATTAAAGCCTCCGTCTCCATTTTGCGGGCAGTTTTTGGATCTGCCCCTGAATCAATCACCGGGTCCAGTGATAGGGGAAAAGTACCTTAGGATCTAAGTGCAATTATAGGCTGCTTATAGAGGATTTGACACTTTTTAGGTTACTTCCCTGAAACATTTCCAATAGAATTATGATACCTTTCAGGCATCCGATTTCTAATATAGTGTCTTCCCACTTAAAGTTGAATAACACACATTTTTACTCCAGCTGTCTCGGTGGTAGGCTGATTTCACTTTAGGATCCTAGCTTCCGCGAAAAGATGAATCCAACCACCCAAATTCCAAACAGCACAATGACAGAAAGATGTATTATTCCTGTAATAGCGCCTTTATGAATCACGGTATGTTTAAATCTGCCTTCACTTCCTACATCCTGCTTTGGTGTTCATCAGAAATCCATCGGGGAGGGGTTTTTTCCTTTTTTTCTTCCCCTCTTTCATACTTGCAAGCCATGCCACACCACATTGCCCTGCAAAGCATTTCCTTCCCCTTACTCATTCATTAAAATCGCTCCCAGCAACCCCAAAGCCTCTCCAGATCAGATCAAAGGCAGAGCATGGCAGGATCGCACCATCTGTCCATAAACCAAAGGACAATCCACTTCAAGATATGAAACTGTAGCCTCTTCAATTCCAAAATAAAAGAACAGAAAAAGGGGACAGTTATGTGATATTAAATGTGTGTGTGGAACATCTGTGAGGGGCTGCTGTGCGCTGGGATATATTCTGCTTCTAACTTCTCTGCGTCTCCCAGAGGGCAGTCTGCAGCCGGTTAACACCGGAAACGCGTTCCTCTCCGCGGGGATTTGTGCGGGGCTGGTTTTGCGTGGCGCTGGAATAAAAAAATAAATAAAAATAAAAGCCCCCCTCGATCCACTGGACTCCATCTCTGTCATCAGAGGTGGAAGACGAGCGCCCCTTGGCTTC